TAATCACTAAAATTATGTGAAGTTTGAGCCCAATCGGGTACTTTGACCCCCTGGGTAGTGTGCGCCGAATTTTTGTATCGCAGCCATGCCTATATGATATCGTAATCAAGTGAAAATTTGCAGAGGTTATTTTTCTCACAAAAAATTAACATTCTGAGAGTTTGGAAAACGTTCAATTAAAAATAAGGGTACTTTCCATACAAAATTTCGTTTTTGAGCGAAAAATCCAAAATTTTGTTCGGGGGGTACCCCTAATATGCATTGAAATGTCTTCAAACTCTCGGAATGGTATTTTCGTGTGATAAAAATAACCTGTGCAAAGTTTCAGCTCATTACGATATCATACAGGCATGGCTTCCATACAAAAATATAAATTGTTTGAAATTTTTGTATGAAAAGTGTGTCGAAAATGAATTGTATCGCAAAACTAACGTCATATTCGGTTTTCTCGTACCCAAAAACCCCCCAATACACATTTTTGAGTGTTTAAGAATACATTAAATATCACTTTTGGAAGAAAAATTGAATTTTTCCCATGGATGGCCATGGGCATCACACCAGGCATGACACTTTACTCTATCAACCAAAGTCGCTCAAAATCTAATGGTTTCTATTCCTCGGCACCCCCCATCATCCTGTGAAGTCAGATTTTTAATTACTTTTCTTGTTTGAAAGCTATCGTGTTAACAAATTTTTGCGTACAGGGTACGCACATACATTCGGACATCGAAAAAACGCTAGATTCGTGTTCCCTGGCCCCAAAAACACCCAGAAAACACATTTTTGATGGGTGTTAATTTTTCGACCGATTCCAATACTTTACCTTACACACTAGGTGTGTGCGGAAAAGTAATATACTCGCATCGTGTGACAGTATTGTTAGTTTTGTTTACAAAAAAAATTTGGTTTGTTTTCATAAGGATTTCTTGAGAATTATATGCGTGGTTTGGTCAATCAATTGATTTTTTTGTTATTTCAAATATGATTTTGTGTGTTCGGAATGCTGTTCCCTGTGGAATGGATATATTCACAGTTGGTTTTGTGACTGTCTTTGTTTTAATTTTGAAATAACAGAGTGTTGATGAAATTTACTGTGAATATTCCAACTACATTTCGATCGGCAAAATATTTGATGTCACATTGGAAATAAATTTCATAATTCGATTTAGAATACAGAGTCACTTTGTTGAGGTAAGACGTGATATTTATAATGAGTTCTTCATTACTGTCTCATTTGATTTGTGATAGAAGTGTTTTTATCTTATTGTGTTTGTGATCCATGCTATATTTGACATAGCCTTTATCCCATCCAACCAGAGTTTCGGTTTATGGTCGAAAACTTCAGCGATGAACAGTTCCAATGTTCGAGCAACACATCACAAATATGATAACTAATCTCACCTCAGCTCACTTGGTGTGAAGCTCGATTTTAGTCATTCTTTCGAATGTGATGTCGGTATCGCAATCAAAACAACAATGGTCAAGAATTCGATGGCATCGACATCAGACATGCCAAAGTGTTTGAATATCGATTACAAATGGTAATGTGAAAAGAGTAGAAAAGGCTTTGATAGCAATTGGATGGCAGCTTACCACAGTGATGCCGCTTACTGGAATACCATTCATGAAATATTTTGCGACAATCCGAATGTTCAACAGCCAACGAAAATAAACAGTTTTGCTCTTGTACCGTTATGCGATTATCATTTGAAGAGTGTGCGATAGGGTGGAGCATTTTTCGAACTTTGATGTGTACACTTGGATTTTTATGTGTCTTGGCGCCCCAAATCAGGATGTACCACTTGCCACCGACTTGCACTTGAAGAATACACATTTGGCTAAAAATTCACAAAAATTACTGTTTTCTCGAAATGAAAAAAATTACTTATTTTACAACGTCTATTGGGTTACTTAAGTTTATTCGCATGATTTTTATGTGGTTCTAGTAAATCATCAATCATAGATGAATTTTTAGCAAAATTGGTATACTTCAAGTGCAACTCGGCAGGCCTAAATGGTCACATTTTGAAAAAAATGTTGGTACATCCTGATTCAGGGCACCAAGACACATATAAATCCAAGTGTACACTGTACACATCAATACTCCAAAAAAAGATCAAAAACCCTAGTGGAGCACCCTAGTGTGCGATTGGATATAAGAGTTTTTTATAGACAATTGGCAAGCAAGCTAAAAGTGCTGCCCAGATCACGCAATCCTGATACCAATTGGTCGGTTAACCTGCGAATGAAAATTTCCGAAAAACACTACAGAGATCATAATCGAGATGGACCATGGCCTGGCGCCACCAATTTTACATATAAACGCATACAACATTTTCAATATGGCTGCGCCCATGAGAGAGAAAATTTCCGCCCCATGAGATGGACTATGGAATTTGTTGTTCAAAGTCGATAAAATTAACCAATTGGGCAAACAATTCCATCATCAAATCGTGGTCAATAGTGTTTCCGCAATGGTACATTGAGTATCGTATCAAAATGCGCGAATCGCCAAGAACGATTTCCAGCAAAAATGCATCGATTTAAAGTGTGCAAAGCGAAACCGATTGCTGGACTACCGGACCCAGTCGCTAGTTTACCATATATAATTGTGGCAACGGTTTAAAAACGTAATTTACAAAAAAAAAACAGGGCATGATTAAGCACCGAGTTCGCAAAGGCAATTATCAGAATGTGGAGGAAATATTTCGGAATGGGCGTTTAATGTCAAAAGATAAAGTTACCTACAAAAATTGGCCATTAAATGTTCAGGATGATGATGCTGCACTACACACAGTTGTTTGGAACCGCGGTATTGTTGCTGCAAAATGCATTGTGCTCAAAGGTATGAATCAATTAACAATAGAGTCTATTCATTGTTTAAAGTTTTTGCTTCAAATTACATAGGACTTTGTGGGATGTTTGGCGTACTAGTGCCTGATTCGTTGAGAATACCACCGAATGCAAACAATGTCAACTGACAAGGAGCAGCATTGATAAAACAAATGTTATAACGATTAGTTATCGTAGCTAGGCTTGACAAAAATGTTGTGGCTTTGTTAAAAAAGGAAGGTTACATAATTTTTAGTCTCAATCGTGACAAAATAATTTGAAATGTATGTCTATTAATATGAAAGGCAGTGTTTTAAAAGTGTCTGTTTCTATTTACGCTCACCAAGCCAAAAAAATTTGTGAGAAGTAATTTCCGAAAATGTTCACAGGATGATTGGGTGAATTCAAAGGATGATTGGGCGTGCCGAGGAATTGAAACCATTAGATTTTGAGCGACTTTGGTTGATAGAGCGAAGTGTCATGTCTGGTGTGATGACCATGGGAAAAATTCAATTTTTCTTCCAAAAGTGATATTTAATGTATTATTGGGGGCGTTTTTGGTACGAGAAAACCGAATATGACATTATTTTTGCGATACAAATAATTTTCGACACACTTTTCCAAAGTATGGCAGTGACCAAAACCGATCGAAGCGCTCGTATCGGTTGCCAGATGAACTATAGCAAACCTATTGGTTGATGGCACAAATTTGTGCCATTGTTCAATGCTGCGTTGCCCAACTGTCACTACTGCCATGCTTTGCTCTTTTCATACAAAAATTTCAAAAAAATTGGATTTTTGTATGGAAGCCATGCCTGTATGATATCGTAATGAGCTGAAACTTTGCACAGTTTATTTTTTTCACACAAAAATAACATTCCGATGGTTTGAAGAGATTTGAATGGATAAAATGGATACCTTCCGAGCAAAATTTTGGACTTTTTTTTTCTCAAAAATGACAATTTTGTATGGAAGGTACCACTCAATTGTATTGAAATTTCTTCAAACTTTCAGAATTTTAGCTAGTGAAAAAAAAACGTTGCAAATTTTCACATGATACGATATCATACAGGCATTGAAAAGTCTATCAAAAATTATTTGTATCGCAAAACTTATATCAGATTCAGTTTTATCATGAATAAAACTTTTTTATTACGGTAAAGGATCAGTGATGGTTTTTTGCTATCTGAATAGCCCAGATGCTGATTCGATGCGTTCACCACATACTGCATGCGGAACACACTTTTTTATACCACACACAGCGGCGTGCGGTGAACGCAATGCTGTGCAGCTGGCAGCAATGCTGTACAGACGCTCCGAATATCTGACGCTATTCAGACAGCAAAAAATATTCACTGTAAAAGATACGTAATAAATGCATGTTGTGGATCACAGTGCGGAAATGTTCATCTTACGTATGTTAGACATTGTGCTTCGGAGGGCAAGTGCTTCGGAGGGCACTTAAATCCATCGGTCCCGTGTGTGTGCACAACGAATAATGGGTTCAGCATAGACACACGTAAAATGGAGTGCCTTTACGTTAGGTTGGTGTCTTGGATATGTCAAATATCCAATACGTCAACCGTAAAAAGGTAGTGCGACATCTCTGGTGAATATACCGGTAAACCAGCGATATGTGCATTCCTCCATTGAAATAAGAAGAGCCCAACGCCATCTAGGAATGAATGGAATACTTGTGACTGTCACGACAATTGACTTGAGAAGAAAGCCCTGGTCACTGGCCCTGTACGGAGGCTAGTTACATGGCTGCTATAAAGTGGGCCACACCGTGGGAAGCATTCTCCAAGCAATCGAGTGACAGCACAAGTCGGGTCGTCATGCAATAAGTTACGAAACTTGAGCATCGAAGTGAATAACTCCCCGTTTAATCCAATAATCCAATAATCCATGTTAGACATTCCATTTTTTCAGAATCGATAAGATTTTTTTGAGTTAAAATTTTAGCGATTGGTAAATTACTAATTATACTAAAATTGAATATTTTTCAGATTTTTGTATTACAATATTTTCATTTTTGACATATATTTATTTATATTTACATGTAAAATATTTTCTTACTTGCGGACAAATATTGAAATATTTATTGAATAAAACCCATTTTTCATAAAAATATTAAACAGCGTTGTGCGAGAGAAAACAAATAATTATTAAGCTAAATTATTTGTATATTGTAAAATCTCGTATATATTACACAATTGTTTTGTGACTAAATTTTCATTTTTTACAAGTGCAATAAGAAAGTGCTTTTTATAGATTTTTTGTCTTCTTATTTTAATTTTTAAAAGAGATAGGAAGTAGAGGATCATTACGCTTCGGTTTCCTGGTCTTGCTGCATTTCTTCTGGTGTACGCAAATCGATTGCAAATTTTTTTTTGGCTGTTGTCATCTGTTGTGGGGTAATCTGTTGTTCAATTTCTTTGACGCGTTTTGAATAATCTTGAAATGAAGCGGCCAATGCGTATGTTAATCGACGAGCCAATGCTCTATTAATAAACATTTGAAATAAAATATAATATTTCCAAATTGTTGTGAGTGATAATTAAAAATCTATTTTGGTTTGCATTAACGTATAAAATGGGCAATTTACCGGCTGTCGCAGACAAATGCATGTACTTCAAATGGATTTGGATCCTGAATGTTAAAATTATCTTTTACAACTATCATCGCGAATACACGTGTATACACCAGGTCCTGAACACCTAAAGATAAAGAAATATGACAATACGGGCAATAATTTTTCGTATTACAACATAAAGTCAAATTTATCGAATTAAGAGAGAATACGCATTTCCATAATAATCATACCATACGAAATTGAGTCAATTGAATAGTTCCACTCTTTTATTGTATTCGACTGCGGTAAAACTGTAGCTTCGATAAATACGCCATCCAGAGATATTGTTAAGTTACAAAGAGGTAGAGTTTGACTTGCGGTTCGTGATGTTTTTGCCATAGTCACCTTTAAAAAAAAATCAAAAAATTGAAGAATTTTCAAACTAAAAATAAAAATACTTCATATACGTACTAAATGATCTACTGGCCTGCGCGTATGTTTAATTCCCTGGGGGTGAATCAGAAATGAAAAATTGAAATAATGGAATTTAATTAATGAGTAATGAAATAGTAATTTAAAGTGATTATAGCTTGATACGTACCCAAAGACCTCTTGCGTACTCCATTCCCAGATATTTCACCTAATTTGAAAAAAGAGATAAGATCTTGAAAATGCAGTTTTTACATAAGCGAATTGTATGCCTCAATATTATTAAAGCTTCAATTACATCTATTAATGAGGTTGTTTTTATTAAATTAATTAAACAACTTAAGCTTCAAAAAAAGATAAAAACGGTACCGAGATACGATTTTTCTAATTGTTATTTCATTATGCAGCTCCAGTATTCTAATTGATTTTTTGTTGGAATTGTATATTCCGTAAAGATCTTGGCACATTTAAGATATTTTTCTTATTCATAAGCAAACGAAAAAATTATTAACTGTTTCCTGAATGGGCCATTTTTGTACAACGTTTCATGATATTTTTTAACCACACGGAAATTTCGCTCTGGACGATTTATTTCAAATATTGATTAGACGTCCTGGACAACACTTGCTGATTTCAACACAGGTGTACAGTGCCGCCAGAAAGTTTGGAACCATCTAAGTATTTTTCATACAAAATGCCTTAAAATGACGTTTTTCGAGGTTTCAAAAATAATACTTTTTAAACTCAGAAATCAATAATTTCTGGCATATTGTTTCAATATATTATGATGAACAAAACAGTAAATATTCAGCCAAAAATATTCACCAGTTCTGAAATGGCAAGTCTTTGAGTTCAATGATAGCTAAAAAAAATACATTTTCATACAAAATTTGTCAAATCGGCTAACATTTCAAACATAATTTATTATTTTAATATCCGTTGCGGTATGGTACAAGCGTTCCCTCTTCATCATTGAATCGTATCACATAAAAATCATTTTCAAAACATTCTCAGCTTCTTGCTCCGTCGGATTCACAGTTTTGGTTTTTTTAAAATTGGTGTGCTTCGGATGTCATAATCACCAGATATACATTTTTAGCAATTGAAAGCAATTTTGAAATATTGAGCCCTTAATTTGGATATTCTACCGGATTTTTGTCATCTCTGGGTTATTCATTTCCAAGCCTAAAGTATTATGTATCATACAGACTATATACAAGCTTTGTTATATAGCAGAGTAAAAAATGTCCGAATGTTGTTTCGAAAACCACATGAATAAAACCAACAGACTCAACTAAACTAATGAAAAATTGGAATAGGAAGTGTAGTTGATGTATTTCCGACAATAGTTTTTGTACCATTGAAATTGGATCATGCATATAGTAATACCATAATGTAAAAAAATCATATGATAATACACTAAATTTGAAATCAAATCAATAATGTACGAACGTTGATTTGTGTGGATTTTACTTGAAAATTAAATAAAGCGATGTAATGGAAAAGCATAGAATTTAACTACACTATATTTTATGCATTATATTGAGTTTTCATCACGAGAGCTCATATAAACGTTACATTAAAAACGAACATAGCTTGGCCACGTCAATTATTATTAACGTGTATACCACACCGTGGTCATGGTTGATGATTAGTAGTAACTACTATATGATAGTTCTCGAAAAAAATAATGATTCGATAAGAACGTACAACCGTCAATTATTACAAGTAGAACACCAACTGAAATTTTGTAAATTCGAACATTGCCATTATTCGAACGTTGTTTTTCGTAATCAAACAGTATTTTTCCAAATAAAAAATCCATTCAATATGTTGCGAAAGGGAATGAAAGAAAGTTTATTTCGGGATAACTGTATTTGCCTTTAAAAGATGCTTATCGCTGATATAATTACGAGAACCTGTTTATGAATCTTTTTTTTTACCTAGTTTGTTGAACAAATTTGTCTTTCTTTATTATTTTGAATTTGAAATGACATTTTGATTCTGAAGCAGGTTTCAATTTTTGTGATTACTTAAAGGCCAACAATTTATTTGTTTTCGATCAACTTATCTGTTTCGAACCTCCTCCCGAAATTTAGCGATTGTATTCAAAATAATATAATACCAACTGACTCAATCATCGATTGAATAATAAACACGTACTTGCTTTCCTCAGCTTAATTTGTTCCGCACGAGTAAACAACGGAAATGGTTGTTGGCTGTTTATTTTATCAAAACATACAAAGTGAATACAAAAAAACAACAACCGGAACGTATGAACTGTTGCACATTAACAATGAAAATTGTTCATACAATTTTTATTAGCCATATATCAGAAAAAGCAAAAAAAAACAACTACTCTTCATAGTAATGGACAATTAAAAAAATATATTTAAAAATGGCGTTGAAAGTTGTTCGTATGAAAAGTACCAAATAGAAGAGATAATCATATTTTTTAGTTTGATAGCTCATAATATACCTTGAATTACCTTGAATGTCAACGGTAAATCGTTACTGATGACCTCATTCTTCAGAACTCCTTCATTTGGCACTGACGACATGATTCATTTAATTTCACGTTCTCCCTTTTTGTTTGTATAAAAAAACCACGTCACTTACGTGCACTTTTCAAGTTTATTCACAAGTCCAACTACAATTAATGTGTCTATGTTAGTATTGGTTCTCAAGAGACAAACATATTTATAATTACTTCTCAATTTCATCAATATGTTATCTTTCCCATCAAATTTGAAATCACTTGAATTCAATTTTTTTACCAACCTGTAAGAGAAATATGTTTAAAATGAATGAAATACATCAATAAATAATAATGATTGGTTATATCAAGCTTATCATATATTTACTACTGCGACATACACCAATTAAATGCTTAAGCACGGTGGTCGCAAGCAAAATATTGAATGAAGACAATGCAACTTAAAAAAAAAATTATTTCAGTGAAATTTCATTCGCTTCTAATCTCTGTACGTAATAGAATTATCACTGCGGAGCGAACTCATATATTTTGTTATCTTATCAGTTTTATACTCAGTCAGTTAAATGCAATGTGTATGTGTTAATATTCAGTATTTTTTATTTAGTTGTGTACAGTTTTTTGTATATTTTAAATTGCATATTTTTGTAGAATCAAATTCTATTTTAATGTACCATTTTATATCCATGCACAGCTTTCGTTTTTTATTCCTCATATCTTTTACAACTGTAAACTTGTTTCTTTTTTTACTCTCGCACCCACATTTTTTCGTATCACAAGCATATATGTCTTCGTTTGCGTTAAATCTTAAAACATATGAAGTGTCGAATCGTCAATTGAATAGTACAACGTTTAAAGAGAATAAAATCGGAAGTTCCATATCCTTGTTAAATGCAGCATCGAACCAAAATCATGATAATTCAACTTCGTTTCTTCGTTTAATTTGTGTTTTAAATTATTTTTCCCGATTTATTGATATATAAATTCATATGAAAAACATTCATATTCTTTAGATAGTTTTCAACGCTTGAGCAGTTTATTGTAAAAAACAATATTCAATTCAGCGAATACTTTAGAATGTACATCTCTTTTTACACTTCCCACTTGAACGTTAATTTTTTTAATATTAGTTGAAGAACAAAAGAAATGCGCGAAAGCAGCAGTATTCACGTACTTGATCTGTTTTCATTCGGAGCACATGTTCTACTGCCAATGAGCTGGTAGATGCTATTACTGTTTGGCCAACAAATGAATTCAATCCAAACAATTTGGATGAGTGGGAACGCATACTATTCAACTAATTTATTCAAACAAAAACAAAAACACCGACAGTCACAACTATACAATCAAACAATGTGCCATAACACTGCATATATCGAAAGCAATGTCTGTATATGAATAAACAATACATAGACGAACAAATATTTTGTGCGATTCGCTCTGCTTTGCAAACAACAGGAAATAGGTTCTTACTCGATTTGTTCAATTTTAATTTTACTGCAGTTGTTACAATGAAATTGCCACAATAAATAAACTGCCATTCATATTACAGCGTAGGAAAATCACTTGGAGAAAAGGACAGAATTAAACTCAAATTTTATGCTTTACGGTATTACTATAAAACGTAACTTGTTTAGAAAATACCAGAGGTCACTCATTATATAAATCGTATAAATTGATTTAAGTTTTTTTTAATGGTGCCCATTTTTTCGAACCCGATTGAAATCCATGCAGTTCAGTTTGCATGTCATTTCAAAGATTACAAACGCAAACTTATAATCTTTTTCGGTACATTTTCCCAGGTCCAAAAAACTACTTAATCGAAATTTCAATGCATTCCAAACCCTTCGGTCTAATTTTTAACAAACAAAATGCTGAATAGACAGTAGCAAAAATAATTCTCACGATAAACTAGCCAGTCCGGTTTTCAAAAGACTCAATGACATTAACGGTGAAGATCTTCAATCAAAAACAAGTTTCTCGATGACCCAATATGTCCTTTCATATCGTAACTATCCTTGGTGAATACCCTTTCTTTGCTCAGTCTTGAAAGTCAACAGATTGTAACTTTGAATAATTGTTATGATTGAGGTAGAATTGAAGATGATACAACAATCTGTCCAATTCTCTTGGATTTCTATACTATACTTTTTTATTTAAAAAATAAAATGCATAGAAATTTATTTGAATGAAAAAATATTGTCGGTTTTTAAAGAATCAAAATAAAGTATCTAGGCGAACATTTAGGTGTGACACAATCAATTTCGATGTTATTTTCTTGTACCTTTTCCTTTTTCTAGAATATCAAAAACCGGTTTTTCTATTTTGAAAGGGTCATCTGCGGCAAGCAGTGCGCATCACATAGGTTATTACAGTATTCATAAATCAACCTCATGCACAAAAATTGATATATATATATATATATATTTGACCCTATCAAAGAACTGAGAGTAACAAGATAACTCCGCTAACATGAGAATACGCACGAACATCGTCTTAAGTTAATAGCAGTGTAAACTATATACGATTGACACGCAGGACCTTTTCTCTTTGCTGCATATAATTTAGACCGCGTACGAATTTTTATTTAAACGGCAATCCCAACGAAGGGATGCTCGTCTTCGGACACGTTATTTTTTGAAGAATAATCTCACCAAATACAAACCGGTTTGACCGGAACATTTTACGAAATGCCCCATTTCGGCATTTTTTATAATATCGAATGATTTCGCTGTTTCTAGTTTTCTCTTTGCATGCCATTGACCATGATTAGGACACTGGTTAGATGAGAATCAAAAGATAATACAAATGCAGGTATGTAGCAGTTGAGTGTAAGAAAATAACACGGCTACCCTCTGAAATACTTATTTTTCAAAGTGAAAAACTTGAAGAAAGGGTTAAGATTCACACATAAATATAAATGTTTCCCAATGAAATTCTCGTATGTGAACAAAAAGACTCGAACAGACAAATTTATCGTTTTGAATACATGACCATTCCAAATATTTTCGGATTAACATTGCAATTTAAAAAAAAACGTGGAGGAAATTGTTTAATGTGAAATGTTATTCGAATTAAAACGATAGAGTGAATCATATATTCTATAAATATTTTGAAAACAAGCTCATGACCAGTGATTGTTTTTGTTCGTGCATTTCCAGAAAAATTTTATAATTAAAAAAAAGTTATTAAATGTCTCGAAAAGAATACGACTTCTATTAAAAAATGAAATGTGCATGGTATGAGAGGTGTGATTACAGCATCTTAGCTCACCAATTGCGAAGACTTTGCTAATATGACCCCTTTTTATATTTTACTATAACAAACGAGCTAACTGGTATATTCAACCCATTTTTAAGTTACCTACCGATTATTAATACTGTAATACAATGTATGTCTCATCCCTTCAAAATGTTTTTCGACCAATGAAAACGTTTATTCAACTATTTGTTTGACTAGAGCATGTTCATTGCTATTTTAGATGCTTTTAACTAGCTTTGACTACTGCATTAACTTTTGGATGCTATTAACAGTCAACATTTTCCCGTTGATCAATTGAAGTTTGATTCTCAAACTAACAACATTGCCGCAATAGTTCAGATCTAATATCTTAAAAAAATACAATATAATACCGTATAATTTTGATGTGCTGTTCAATAACATAGAAAATCCATTATGTTATTCCCACATAAACCAACTCAAGGTATTTTGAAAACTATTTAAATCATGATGAAGTATTTTGAAAGTAGTAAAACAATCTGTTTCGAGAACTCTCTTTATTGGAATGGGGTGGATGGATACATTTGGAAAAAACTAGAACAAATAATTACAATTTACAATGAGTGTTATAGTGTAAAGGCATAGGTCATTGGAAGAATGATTTTTTTTTTGTTTTTCTTTAATGCTTTTTAATTGAATTCTGAATTCTCGTTGGAAAACAGAATCCAATAATTCGTTCGTATTGTTTTTATTAATATCACTTCTGGTGGTGAGTGTCATTTAATTGATAGTGAAAAAGTCAACTGAATCGCGGTACTGAAATGAAAATCCAGTTCAAGTTCTGACTATCTCTTGACCCCCATTTCTTTTTAGTTACTGTTTTTTTTTTTCTTTTTTTCTTCATTTTTTTGACATTTTTGTTTTATTCAAACATTCGGTTATTGAATCGATTTACTCTGGTTCATTCATTCGAAGACGAGCGAAATCTTCAAAAACAATATTGTCATCGTCATCAGCATAATGGCTGTTTTCATATCGATGCCTTTCAATCGATTTCATCTTTTTCATTGCATTAACGCGTTCACGTTCAACAGTGCCTGTGCAACAATTAAATTAGAATGATTAAAATAAATAGTGTGATATATATATATATATATATATATATTATTTTTTTTTTTCAAAATGCATACCTGGTGCAGGGTGCATCAATTTAAATGGAACATCAGTCACTAATTCTCCACCTAATCACAAAATTACTTATTAGGTCAAGATAATTTTGGAAGCCTCAAGAATGCAAATGTAAAACCAAATTCAAAAAGTACAAAAACATATGGAAAACAACAACGAACCTAAAGTGCCACAGTTAACTTTAACTCGAACCGAGTATGAAATTACAATTCCTACGAAAATAATCAGAAAGAATGAAAATGTTGAAAAATAGAAATAATGAATTTTATAAAGAACAAAAAGATGAAATGCTGTACCCATTGCATCAGATGAAGTTTTTCCATCAGTAATTAAAGTTGAAGATGCCAAATTGGCATCTTCATCTTTCAGATGTCCATCCAAAGCAATACCTGTTAAAAAAATTATCGATATATTTCAAAAATTCAATTAAATCTTACTTCAGTTTTTCGTTAAAACCTCGACGATCCTTGTTGCTAGATGCAAGTGGAACCAAATAAAATTGCTTAGTAAAACTAGCGCCTGGAGTAATTGGACAACCTTCACGAGTTTCCATTGAAGCCACGTGTTTACTGAATTGAGCATTAACCATTGTCACCTAGATCATAACATCAGCAATAATAGAGACCAAATTTAATACAAAATGTAAATTTTCTAAGATTTATTTCTATGAAGAAGTCTTTTAGTTTTTTTTACCTCACAGTGCTGCACGATATAGCACTTGATATTTTTAACAGTTTTTCTTGAGTTGTTTGTTATGACAACTGTAGCTGCTACCTTTTCTCCATGGTAGTAAATTTCACGATCAAGTGTAACTTCTAAATTGATTTTGCCCTGTGAGAATGTAAATCCTTTGCTAACCAGAGAGCTTGGAAGACGGCGACCACGAGACGCTGGAGCAAATTGTAATTTTTTCACAGTCAAGCTGACTTGACTGCGTTTATGGCCTTTGTCTTCCTCATTTTGTCCCACATAAGCTCGAATTGTGTAGTCCACACCCAATGGTTTTCCCTCATCATCTTCACCAGCTTGTAACGTAACTGAACTAGGTGAAACGCTTGGGAATTGGAAAGTAAAAGGAAATGCACTTTTTCCGAGTTTCTTAACTAAACGTTCTTGCATTGGTGTCATTTCCATTTGTTGATTAATCATTGGAACAATTTGTTCACGTTGCAAGCATAATTCCTTGGAAAATTTCACTCCCATCACCTCATCTTCTTCACGACCGTATCGGTATGTAGTGATCAACTCACCAAACACTTTTCTTCCTCTCAAATATTCGGGTTCGACAACAACAACACCGTCAATTGGATCACAATAATCCAAATGGTCGATGAAATCACGTTTTCCCAAGTAGAATGTAAGTTTTCCATTTGGAGTAGTTTTTTTGAAAACTTTCACTGCAACAACCATGATTGTGATTTGATTTTTTACTTATTTGAAATTGAACTTTTTCGAAATGGATTTTAGTTTTTTAGTGCAGAGTAACTGTTATGCTTGCGGTTTAAAATAACCACCAGAAGTGTGATGAACATTGAACAGTACCAAGCTTTTATAGCATATCGAATGTGCATTAAAAGGGCTTCTCTTCAAATGAAATTAACGATGATGATTCAACACTTACAACAGAAACAAAATAAATAAACAAAAATAGACTAAGAAGCTTAATGTACATTTGGGTGTTTCTCATATCTGTAAATAAAAAAATGGTATGTTTCAATTTAAAGAGCATAAAATTCTGTTTCGAATCGTAGCATTAATGTATAGCATCGATTGATATTGACACTTGGCAAAGGGTAAACGTGTGTCAAAAATAGGAAATTGGCTGACAAAAATGGGGAAATGACCCTCCAAAAATGGGGAATTTACCCCCCCAAAAATAGGGAAATGGCTGTCAAAAATGGCGCGTTTGGTTGTGACAAATGGGGAATTGGCTGTCAAAAATGTAGCTTTTGGTTGTCAAAAAAAGAAAAATTTGTCTGTCAAAAATGGGGAAATTGGCTGACAAAAATGGGGAATTGGCTGTCAAAAATGCGTCGATAAAAAAAAACGAAAAAAATGTGTAAAAATTTCTTGAAAGTAAGAAAAAGTAATATTATTCGATGCAATTTGATACTTTAATTACATTATCTTTCTTATGGTTTTTTGTCTTTTCTTCATTTCGTTGTTTCATATAGTTCCCCCGCTAGGGCTATCAATGAAATTCAATTATTCTTTGTTGCATCTGTTCGACAGCCAATTTCTCATTTTTTATAGCCAATTCCCCATTTTTGACAGCCAATTCCTCATTTTTGACAGCCAATTCCTCATTTTTGACATCCAGGTCCCCATATTTGACAGCAAATTCCTAATTTTTGACAGCCAGTTCCCCGTTTTTGGCAGCCAAATCCCCATTTTTGGGGGGCGATTTCCCCATTTTTGACAGCCACATTTTCCCACTTTTGACAACCAAACGCACCATTTTTGGCAGCCAATTCCCTATTTTTGGGAGGTCAATTCCCCATTTTTGGGGGGTCATTTCCCCATTTTTGGGGGGTCATTTCCCCATTTTTGTCAGCCAATTTCCTATTTTTGACACACGTTTACCCTTTGCCAAGTGTCAATATCAATCGGTGCTTTACATTAATGCTACGATTCGAAACAGAATTTTATGCTCTTTAAATTGAAACTTACCATTTTTTTTATTATGGATATCGGAAACACTCTAATGTAGATTGTACAACGTCAACAACATACATACTACATACTCTGAGAATTTGCAAAGTGAAAAACTATAGGTTAACTCAACAGAATTTCATTTTACAGTAAACATTTTTTGTCTCGTCTAAATTTAACCGAGCTGATATTATATTGTGACATTTATTGAATAGAATATTGGAAATCGAAATTTAAACATCCATAGTACATAAAGAGAAGTCTACAATCAGAGTTCCATAAGAAGTGTCACAAAATAATGTATATGTTTCAGCTCGGTAAAATTTACACGCTGCAAATTTTCATAGTATATATGGATAAATACGTATTTGAATTCAGTTAGTTTTAATATAAAAAGACTTTTACGTTTTTAATAATGCATTTTTTAATGCTTGAGTGAAATATAGATTTCCAAAAAAAATATTCCGTAAGAAATTGCTATGAATTGAGTACATTTCTTAATCACAAAATTACTTATTAGGTCAAGATAATGTTGGAAGCCTCAAGAATGCAAATGTAAAACCAATTTCAAAAAGTACAAAAACATATAGAAAACAACAACGAACCTACCTTAGTGAAATGAATCCACTTGAACTTACCTTATAAAAAAATGAAGCAAACACTAAATCCAATTTCATATTTTCATAGCGGAGAAATCGACCTTTTTCATGCAAAATCGACACGGATACAATATTCAATTTTCACCATCAAATGCGGATATTTTTGCTGTTGGTAAATATAGAATGGTTTTTTCTTAAAGACTATCATTTTCAAGAATTTTAAATTATGTTTCATAGCTACATGCCAATTTTTTGGACGTGAAGGCGGGGGCACGTTGTTCCTATTACAATTGAACCAAAAAGGGACTATAGATGAAATAGAAAAAATAGATTGGACGGATGGATTATTTGATATCGTAAGTAACATTTGATTGAAAAATATATTGCCAGTTAAATCTGAATGTCAGACTTATTTTTTTATTTTATATAGGCTTGGGCAAAACATAACCCGAACATATTAATTTCCGCATGTGGGGATGGTACGGTTCAACTTTGGGACGTTGATTCAAAGTCGATGTCGTTAGTATCTGGCTACAGTAAGCCGAAATCTTGCTATAGTGAACATGGCAGCGAAGTAAGAAAATAGCCAAAATTAATCGACACATTATATTATTTATAAATTGAACTGTAATTTTCAAGGTTTGCTGTGTTGATTGGAGCTCCCAAGATTCACTGTTTCTAAGTGGTAGTTGGGATTGTTCGATTAAGCTTTGGAATCCAAATTATAAAATGTCCCTCAAGACGTACAATGGTCATAGAAAATTAGTATATGAAAGCAAATTCGGAAAGAAAAATTCAAATATTTTTATGAGCGCAAGTGCTGATGGTTATCTCAAAATATGGGATATTCTACAACCCTATCCAATTTCAACAATTTTGGCGCACAATAATTCTGAGGTAATTTCATAATGAATATTTTTCCAGGGGCAAGACACGATTCATTGATACATTGTTATTTTCGGATTTTTTTGAGTTAATTTGAATCGGTTTGATAAGTTATTTGACAGTACAAACTCCACTTCGATACTTTTTTTTTTAAATAAACAAAAAAGTGTGTACCAAAAATGCAAGTGTGTTTAAAAACACATTTAATAATAATAATAATAATAATAATAATAATAATAATAACATCCTTCGCCTTTTTTAGAAAATAATAAATCCTGATATATTCTTTAATTTGATTTTTTATATTATTGCATATGATATTCAACTTTACTGCAAAGTGTTGATTTTAAATATTTCCAGTTTACTCACAAAACGCTTTATTTTAATGTGCAATAATATCTTACTTGAAAATTTATTTTGTAAATAGACAGTGAAAAAAATAAATAACGTTCGTTTTCGTGATTATTCGTTCTATTGGAATTGTTGTCTCCCCCAAGATACTTTTGTTTCAATAAAAATTGATTCGTTTTTATTTATTTCCTTTTTAAAGGTTTTGTGCTGTGATTGGAATGAATTTGATCAAAATATCGTTGCCACAGGGGGCTCAGATAATAATATAAGGTTGTGGGACTTGCGTTTCGTTGCCAGTCCAGTTATTGAGTTGCATGGTTGTGAATATGCTATACGAAGAGTCCGATTTTCACCATTTAATTCAAGTGTGTTAGCTTCAGTTTCTTATGATCACACCTCTAGAATTTGGAATTGGCAGTATGATGATGAAGCAATGGAAATAATAACACACCACAAGGAATCAAATTATGGTTTGGACTGGAATCGATTGGTTCCAAATCAGTTGGGCGACTGCGGTTGGGATTCCGTAGTTAATGTTTATACGCCAGCATCTTTGACTTAGCTCAATTTTTTTATTATTATTTACACATTTTAATTTTTTATTTTTTTTATTGCATGTTGTAGAGATTTATACAATATTCCATATATATTTTTTTTGTTTCTAAAAAATTATATTATTTCTTTTAGGTGGCAAGTCTTCTATAGAAACTGTGTTGCTGGTTTACTACAGGCTGCTGTGGAAGTGATATTAAGGAATAATAATAAATCTGAAGACTTATACATTATAATAAGTGAATAAAGTAAGTCAAATAATTAACATTACAACATTTAATGAATTGGAAAGCGTTATAAAATTTATGAATAATGTAAACATTTCAATTTTATGTGGATCAAATTTGAATGGAATCATAATAAATGGAAGGACGGGAAACATAAAAATGCTTCAGTTCTAAACAACCTACAAAATTGTACAAACTTTGGATGTTTTATTGTTTTCCATGATGTCATTGATGGATTGGGTTTTTATTTGATTTATTTGTTGCATGGCACTTTCTTCCACTGGAATAAAAATAATACATAAAATAGAAGAAATCGGGAATATCATTCACATCATAAATAACTCACTCTCAATAACGGTATCAGATGATTTACAATTATTTTTGATTTCGCTGAAAAATCGTTTGACTCGCCCTTCGTTTTCTTTTTGAGTATTTGCCTGTGTTTCATTAATTGTTTCCAATTGATCGACACTATCCTCTATTTCAAGTTGATTCTTGGCTGGTGTATTGACCGATTTGATTGAAGCAGTTGTTTGCTCAGTATCGCCATCCGCTTCAAGATCCAATTCTTCCAAATCATGTTTCAATGGAACGATTTTGGTAATTAAGTCAGCGGCTGAAACCGTTGCATCTTTCATTATATCTTTTCCAACTATTGATACAAAACTAATTATTTCTGAAATAATCTATAGAATACTATTACTTAAAAAAAGTATACAAACTTACCATCTTTTATGTGAAACATTTTACTTGAAATTGTTTCCTTTGCTTCCGATAGCTCATCGTCGATAACACCTTCATATTTCACGGTCAATTCATCAGATTTGTTTTTAACATCATTGCTCATTTCATCGATTTCATCCTTCATCGCTTGTATAATATTTGATGTATTATTTATTTCCATTCCATTGTCTATGAACTTAACATCATTATCCACAGAATTTAAATTAAAGTCCTCATTTCTGGGTACATACAAGTCATTCTCATTCATTGCATTATTTTTCTGTTCTGATATCTTTAAATCTGATGTATTTGTTTCATTTATATTTGCATGGAGAAAATCTTCTTCATGGCCTACGGAAGTTTTGACATAGTCAATAACGTTTTTTGGAACATCTTTTAATTTTTTTTCTGTTTCTTTTGTTAAATCATTTAGTTTTTCTTCTCCGGCTGTTGTAATAGATTTTATATCACTGACCAGACTGTCTCCAAAATTAGAAATATTTTTACTAACAATATCCATATTGTCTGCTTGATAATTAAACTGTAAATGATTTGAATCTTGAATTTCTTTTTCGGTGGATAAGTGTTGCACTAGTTCAACTGCTTTTAATTTATTTTCGTTTGAATTTTTTTTCACATCAATTTTCGAGACTTTTGACTCGTTAATTGAATTAGTTGCGTACGTTATATCCGATTGTACTATTTCGAGTATTTCCTTAGCAAGAATCGGTTTTTCGCTTATGATATTCTTAAAGCCTGAAATATTTTGTGGTACTTGGTGTGCAGATAGTTCTTCACTGCTTTTCATAGAAGAATCGCTTTTTCGCAAAGAATCATTTAGAATATTTTCATTCGCATCCGAAGACGTAATATCAAGAGAGTTGGATGGACTGATTTTTATTGACACAGCAAATAAAAGAATATGATGTAATCCCGCAGCTACATCCAAAATGTGGAGATTTTGAAATTTTTTTAATTCATGTGGCCGACATGTTTTCGCCGATGTCTTTTCGTTAAATGTGGTCAAGAATTTATTTTTATCTGAAATTCAAGTCTTATATTTATATACATTCACCAATTGAGTTAAGGTATAAATTATTCTCTTATTTTGTTTCAAATGACATTTTTTTTCATATGAATCTATTCTGTTGATTCGTACCATAAAAATTGTACGAAAAAAAGAAAAAATATTTCGTCACTGCAATGATTCATAAACGACTCCAACTCACCAGTAAGAACGCATACAAAATCGTTTCCTGCGCAGAATTTCCGAATGTTATCGTTCTTATTAAATAAAATTATACGTTCAAATTCAATTTCGGTCCCATTTGTGCTCTTATATACATCACCAGAACTACTAATTAAAAATATTTCGTCCTTTTTTGAGACATATAAGCTGTAAATTGTATCTGCAAGGTCAGATTTGTTCAACTTTGTGATTTGCGTGTATTCGACAGAATTTATATTTCCAAGCACAAATACACCGTTACAATCTAAAAAATGCAAATGAAATCACAAAAATATGTGTTTGCCCAGTCTGGTGTTAGAAACTTACCACTAATAAATACAACAAATGTGGAGCCACACTTAGCGATCCGTATTATTAAATGTTCACTTATTCGCCTCACTGTTTCGCTCTGATGTTTTACTTTGAATGAATCAAAACATCCATAGCAATATAGCTTTCCACTATCTGAATAACAGTTCAACGAAAATATGGAATACATAATAAAAATAAATTAAACCTTAAGGTACAAATAATAATACTTACTTGTGAGTACAACAAAATGTGATCGACCAGCTGCAATATCAACTAAATCATCAAAATTTCCTTGATCGTCCAAACATCGCTTATGAAAGTCGATAATTTCATAATTATGTCGAATAATACATTGTGTGGTATTGCCGAATATTGACTTACCATTGAAGAATATTTTATTATTTTCTATACCATTATACCGTGAAATTGATTATATATTTCAAGTAGATAAGTCAAACGATTTTCTTTAAAACCTACCTGTTAGAATTACGCTGAATGTGTCAGAAAAGGCAATAGTCCGAACTTTATAGCCCAAATTTTTTATTTCTTTCACACACGAAGGTTTTGCAATAACCTCTTTTCCCGCAGACAATTGACCGTATTGATTTTCACCGAAAACAAAGAGACGTCCTGATTCTGGTTATAATATGCCACAATTTGGCATAACGAAAAAAGAAATAAAAATAAAAATTAACACTAGATAAAAATGCAATACAATTGATTTTACAGTAATTGATATACCCTAAAATTTGAAATCAAAATGACTATAGTCTTTAGAATTATTGCTTTTTGATATGCATGTATTGAACCGAAACCAAATCACTTTATTGGTTTCATTCACTGACTTAACAGAAACGGAACGTTTTTCAAAATGCACTGCGGTGTAAAATGATGGTGTGTATGCCAGTATTGCATGCGAATATAGTGTAAACTATTTTCGGATCGTTTGATTCATTTTGTTTAGCAAATAACTGAAACCAATCCATCAAAGAAACCGGTTTTCATAAAATTTGATAAATAATAATTATAAATGGCGAAAAATTGGCATTAATTCAAAAAACAACGTATTGAAGTGTTTCACATCTATGTTCAAAATAAAAAAAGTAATGAATTTAGTGAAGTAATTATACATACTATTCAGAAGCAATAAAAATAAACACGAAACTAACCACAAATGACTGCACTTTGATTATCTCCCGTCACGACTTTTCTAATGGGGTCATTCTTTATGAAAAAATAGCTTTGGTGATTTTCTGATAAATAGGATTTTCCAAGCGTAAATATTGCACCCGTTTCTATTCAATTTAAAAATATGTTAGTTTTGTTACTCGAATAAAAAACGAAGTACGATTTAATGAATATGAGACTGCTCCAAAGTTTTACTTGAATTGAATAAAACACCTATTACCAGGAATATCCATTTTGCAAATCTTTTTTTATAACCGTTGCTATCGTAATTTAATGTAAAATATGAAATCTATAATGAACATTTAGTTTTATGATAAGTTTCCCGGTACATGAACCGTCTATATTTTGAACTAAAATGCTTAAAATCAAATGTTTTGCAACCAACGTGCTACACAGATCACTACAAAATGAATAAATGAATATAATTCTCGGAGTAATGTGGTGAAGTCTGAAACACCAAACCCCAAAGTGGCATGTGCAAAATTGAATACAAACGTTATGAAGAAGAAAATACTGACTGGAATAATATTATTTTAAGTCAAAAAGTGGTCGATTCTTTTGGTCAGTTCCCCTCATTCAATTGATTTATGCTTTGATAAACATTTTTTATGACTTTCATTATTCTTGTTTTTGCTCTGCAGCTAGAAAACGTATTTGCATTGTGTTATTCGGCTGAACGGAGCAAAAACGTCCCCATGAAAAAAAAAAAAAACCCAGATATTTTATTGTTCAACTATTGACTATTACATGGATATGTACTACTCAAGAAAGGAAACGTTCCGATTTGCTTTCGTTCTGTTAAAAGAATTCAAAAATATATTTATATATAAAGGCTGGAATTAAATGGTTGAAATGTGTAAGACACATATATATTATATACATTGTAAATCACTTGCGTATGTAAAATAATATCTATAAAATGAATTAGAAATGTTGAGTAACTGACCAATTCCTTCCAATTATGGTTTTCTTGCCAAAAAGTATATATTTAATAGACATTTAACTATAAATGTATATAGATGTTGGAACATTGATATATTTAAATCAATTTATACATAATGTTCTCAATGTGAGGGTGAAATTTACGTTGGCTGAAAAAATCAGCTCTTATTGTTTAGTTTGTTATTCATCGTCCTTCACATTTTCCATTAATGTATTTTCTATGTATGCCTGGATGTTTGCACACGTGAATTAAGAACGATTGGCTTTAATCACTCGAAGAAAAGTACGTGTCGAATACTGCCCTTTGCGTGTTAAACTGTCCTTTACTACTATAGTTGAGCTCAGAAATCAATTTATTATTTTCCTTTTCTTTTGTATGAAAATATTCACGAAACTAAAACACTCAATAATAATTCTCATATTATTGTATTTTTGACATTTCTTTCATATGTTCATAATTTATTATAGTTTAAACGATTTTGGGATTTATTTAGAAAAATCCTATTTGGAAGAAAAACATTTTCATTTTCTTTCCGAAAATTATAAGCAAAAATGACTTTCGCATATCAGAGCTCTGAATAATTAATATATCGAATTCTCAGATCAATTTGGTCAATCAATGGTTGCTTCGCAAATGAAAGAACAGATTGCCAAAGACATTTAGATTTGATTTCAAAATAATTGACAATTTCATTGAAATTTGATATGGAAAATGAAGGATTCATGATTGATAAATTCAACAGGGTGGCTTCGTAGCTATTATGTATTTTCAATTCACACTGTGCAGACTATTTTAATTCTTAAAAGCAAAATAACTCACCGAATATTTTATTTTATATATAGTAAAATTACTAAATTTCTTTGATTTTTGTAAACATATGTGTATTGCATACGATTTTTATATATAAAAATCAAAACAAAATCAAATAAATCACTTTTCCACAGCCGACATTTATTCTTTTTTATTTAGGGTTATAATTAAAATTGCACCTGAAGTTGATGAAGGGCGAGAGTATACTAATTTGAAACGACGATTTTATCCACAAACGCACACATACAACGCGTATTATTCATTAGTTTTTGTTATTCCTTTTTTAATATTCTCAAATGAGTGTTATCGTGTACATTGGATTGTTACTGAATAATTTGAGCAACTTTTATACCACACACGCCAAGTTCAACTAAATTCAAGTGGACAATTTCTAAGCTAACGTACATGAAAGGTATATTTCAAATTCGATTTGAAACTATATGGCCAGTAATACTCTTTTTAATTTACTCATATGTATGTGAAACTATAGTTATAGCTGCAACACGCTCGCTTGTATATAAACTTGATTTTAATTTAAATAATTGACAAAATCAAAAATACTTTATCTAGAAAATCCTTTTTATGGTTTCAAATTCTGCATTTCATATTCTTTGGTCTCAATTTAATTTTATTTTTTAAAAAATCTTCATTACATTGTGATCTTTTATTCTAAACAAAAATATACCTAATTTTTTAAATACATTTCCATTGTTAAAATTTTTGTTTCTTCTTTGTTGATATTTTTCAGCCAATTTTGATGTAGTTTTTTAAGTCATTCATCAGTTTTAATCATTTTAAATCAGTTTGTTGAATACTTTCAAGTTATTCTATTTAAACACCCTTTATGGTATTTTTCGTTGGCTTTTTAGGAAATTTTGGAGAATTTGATAAATTAAAAGGAATTTTATTACGAATTTTGGTTCGGATGTTTTCATTAATTTTATAACGGATAAGAGAGAGATATAATAACAACTTCTAATCAATTCTTCTCTTGTTCCAAACTCCGAAATACCATGCTGGTTTATTAAGTAAATTATTGTTTTTAGAAAAATCAAACTTGTAGACAATTAATTTACACATGGAAGTATAACATAAGAAATACGGGAGTAGAATATTTAGTTTACTTTTTATAATATTTATTATTTACAATTTAAATTCAATCAAAAATATTTATTTCGAAATGTGGCATCAAACAATAATATTAATTTAAAAATAAAGCCAAAATGCTTTTATGAAAACATATATTATGATTTTCTAAAATTATTCGTCTAAACGAAAGTGATACCACGTTTTCTATTTCGTTCTGCTCGCCGTTTAAAGAACTCATTTTGCTGTTGTTGAGTTAACTTACTAAGATGATTTCGAAGATCTTTCAACTTTCTCTTTTTTATTTCTCGTGGGTTCAGAGTAGTTGTGGCCACAAAGACTTCAACGTTGTTGGTTTGATTTCCAAGATGATTTGTTCCAAATTCAGATCGAACCCTTTGATCGGTTTGATATAATGATTGATTCATATTATTCTGATATTTAATATGTTTTCCATTTTCTACATTTTGGTCACCATAGTGATTGAAATCATTTGTCTGAAATTCTGATATGACAACGGGTCTTGCTGTCATTTTTTTTGTAATTGTTTGCATAGCATTTGTTGTTGAATTCTCCATTGCTACAGCTACAGATATTGTAGTCATTTGAGTTGCATAATTCATCTTATTTGATGGCAACTGTGTGTTCCATTTGTGTTTTTGACGCCATTGTCGATTGTTGCGGTTTTGCTGTTTACCTAAAGAGTAAATTTGTAATATTTTTATATACATTTCATTATGGGAAAACGTTACGCTTTGGCTAATTTTATGATAATTCATTTCAGTGTAATATGGTAATTGTAAGCTGTTCAAAATGGATGTTCATCCAAATCTGGAAATGCTTCGTTAATGATTAACAACGGTTCATTACCTTTGACAATTACAACATAAGGTTGGGAAGTACCTTAAAAATAAATAGTGTGGTGAATACCTTGTGTTCGATAACGATGAAAATCAAATTGTTTATCAAGTCCACGACGATTATTTCTCATAGATTTTTGGTATACAGCATTCTTGAGATGATTATCTCTATTGTGTGCACGATAAGTCAGACCAGATCTTCTTTCTTTTAATCTATAATTTACAGTTGAACGGTTGAGAGAAAAACATTAATATAAAATGAAAAAAAGTAATGACCTTACATTATTAAATCATTTCTGGACACCATATGTATAGCTTCATTTGCTTTTTCGTTCGGATAAGTTGCGTTCCATTTGTCATATATGTCTTGGCGTTTTTTCTCATTTACCATTTTTAATTTGTGTTGACATACGTATTGAAGTGGTTGTTCACATGATGATGCCGACCACCTGAGAAAGTTCGATAAGTAAATCAAACATCAAAATGTCTGTGTGTACAATTTTGCAAGGTTGATTCTGATCTCTTTGAAACTTAACAAGTATAAGTATACAAAACATTAAGACTTTTTGGTTCTGGCATTTTTCGATATGGCCGTTTGCCGATCCCCAAAAGATATTCCATTCATTTGATATAATATTCAATATTATTGATAAAACGATTATAAATATTATTATATTTTCCTAAATTGTATATTGTATATGTACCTGTATTTCAACTTTGATTTTAAAACAGCGCAATGGAATATCAAGTCTGTGTTCCTAGGGTTAATTACAAAAAAAGAATAGAAAAAATGGGTATTAATAAACATGTAATGGGTCTGTAATGGAATAGTAATTTTTAAGTGAGCAAACCTTGCTGTGTTCCCACTGAAATGATATAAATTTTTTTATGGACATTTTTTTGAATTTCATATTTTTTTGAATATATACCCTTGTGAAAAAAAATGACTGACTGACTTTGAATTAAGTCAATTTTAATCACTTTTATTCGGTTAAAATTACCAATAGATGATTGAAATCGAATATAGTCGGCTATGTTTCAGAGTTAACTAAAAGTGATTATAGTCAATAGACAAAAGTCAATTTCATATACTCATAGTTAACCGTAGTTAACTATAATCACAATCGACATTTCTCAACTCAATTTACATGAAGACGCATATAGTCACTTATAGTTAACTTTATTTACTTTTTATTTGTCCCAAATTAGTCAATTTATAGTCAACTATGAAGTCGAAATATTTCCACAAGGGTAGTTAAAGGAGTAAGTGAAGTCTATACGGTTGTCTGATTTACTTGCAATAATATGCACATTTAAATTTGACATAAGATACACCTTTTTTACACCAACTCCTTTTACAATTGTATCAAAATTATTGTCGTATACTCTTACGCTGACATTTGACTGAATGCTTGATATTTGACATCCTCACCATTATACCCCCATTGCCACTTATTACGTTCCCAGTTATATCTGGCACCGATCCACATATCTTGTGAACCACTTAAGTTGGTCAAATATTTTCGAAGAAAACGATCCTGCTTTCCGATCGGTTCAGCCAAACGACTGTTTCTTTCCTTGCCTTGATTTGGTACAGAAATAGATTCACTTTTAAAAGAGTTGATTTATCTTCACCGTTAAACTTACATTCAAAATGAGCATCCAACCAATTTACACGGTCTTGAGATATGAAATAACATTCATTGCCTAATTGAATAAATTTGGGAGGACACAGAAAATACATAGATCGTTGACCATTGTTTTGCACCTAAAAGTGGAAAAATATTCAAACGAATGGATAGCAATTTTTCGATAAAAGGAAAATAAATTTTAAGGTGATTACCCCCTCAGTTTGCACAACCAAACATATTAATGTAAAAAATACACATTTTTGAATGCAGTGAATAACAGCTTTTTTTTCGAATCCCATCATTCGTACAGAAGTTATGGTAACGTCTTGCAAAATAAACTTTAATATCCTTGGATTTCTAGTCTGAAAGGAGCAATCTAAACACTTACAAAGTTTAAATGAATCCATTTTCAATAATTCTTAATTTGAATAATAAATAAAAGTGTACTTTTATATTATAATATCTTCTACAGGGTGCGTCATAATAACTGTCCCTTTTTTCAATCATTTGTTTTAATACTCAAATGTCTTGCGATTCACTCTGTCGTTTACCGTTATGTTTATTGGTGTTTACTCTAACTCTAATGATGCTGCGCATTTATGTACAGTGTCTGTATAGCTTGCGATAAGAATGGATGTGAAACGTCAACTGGTACTAAATTTGCACAAACGGGGCTTGAGACAAATTGATATTTTTCGACAGCTACAAAATGAAAATATCAACTTGAAATTTGTAAAGCGCACAATAAAACGATACAAAGAACGTGGCAGCGTTGATATATTGAAGAAAACTGGACGAAAAAGATCTGTTCGTACCAAAAATCTCATCAAACGAGTGAGAGAGAAAATTCGCCGAGAACCTCGAAAAAGTGGACGAAAGTTGGCTCATGAGCACAAAATCAGTGAAACTTCAATGCGACGAGTTTTGGCAGAAGACCTGAATATGAATCCATTCAAAAAATGTCGACGACATGGTCTCACAATCAAAAATAAACAAGCCAGAAAGCAAAGATGCAAAGAGTTGTTGCGCCGGCACGCAAACTCAAACATTGTTTTTTCAGATGAAAAATTGTTCCTTTTACAGCCAAGCCTCAATTCGCAAAATGATCGTGTGTACGCAACATCAATCCTTGATATTCCCGAAGATAAAAAAACCATCGAACGATTTCGAAATGTTCCACAATTGATGGTTTGGGCCGCCATGTCGGCCGACCACAAATTTCCACTGGTTTTCGTCGAAGAAGGCGTAAAAATCAATGCCAGAGTATATATTCGAGAAATATTGCGTAAAAACTTATTGCCACGGTCTCAAAGACTATTCAGAGGTGAACCATGGGTATTTCAACAAGATGGTGCACCCGCACATCGTGCAAATACGACACAACAATGGCTACGCACGAATTTGCCTGATTTCATTGACAGAGACTCATGGCCGCCATCGTCTCCTGACTTGAACCCGCTCGATTTTTTTGCTTGGGGATACATGTCGTCGAAGCTCAATGATCTGAAAATTACGAAACGAACCACTTTGGATGCATTCAAAAAGAAAATAATAAAAATTTGGAACGAAATTCCCATTGATATGGTGCGTGCCGCGTGTCAATCGTTTTCGAAACGTTTGCGTTTGTTAATCCGAGAAAAGGGGGGAAGAATTAAAGTCAAAGGCTGAATCATAATCTCTATACCTCATTCTTATATCGAATAAAATTATATCTCGATTTGATTCAAATTTCTGTGTTTTTTGGCTAGAAATAAAAGGGACAGTTATTATGGCGCACCCTGTATTAAACTTTCAAAAATTACATTCATTCGTAAAGCTGCTATTTAACTTATACATCTACAGAAGCCGAGGAAAAAACTACTTAAGAATATCGAGTGAGCACTGTATCTAAAATGTATTATCGTATAAAATACTTTTCGAAAGGATTATGACAAATATCTATATACGTATCGATAAACTCAATTATTGTTTATATGTCATATAATTGTCCTTATAAAACAATATCACAGCGGACGGCAGTTCGCGCGAGTGACGAAACCACATAAGTGTGTTGAAAAGTCGACTTGCTATATATACACGTAATTTCCAAATTCTAGCCTGGAAGGCCTTTAGCCGCGAATGGTGTATGGTTGGAAAGACCATGGGCCATAGACCAAGAAAAAAAAATATTTCGAAAATCGGTCCACCTGTCTTCAAAATATGGTCCTTTCAAGAAAAGGGTCAAAATTCAGTTTTATGGCCATAGATGGCACTAAATGAGATCGTCGACCCCTGAAACATCGATATTCGAATTCTAGAGTTCAATATCTTTCCAACGACCCCCTAACCGTCAAAATCGATAGTAATTTGCCATCACTGTGTACACCGGCTAACGAATGCGTAAGCCAGCACTAACACACGTCACGAGAATTGGACGTTTTCACACGCATACTATCATACACAGTCACACAGACAGTGTAGACAGTTAGCTGGCTAACGATTGGTGTACACCAAATGTTGGTATACACCGAGGCTAAGACAACGCTGGCTAACGCAAAACCATCACTGCTTGTTTTTGATCATTTTGAAACTTTCTGTGATTAAAGTACACAAAAAACTAAGACTTTTTTGTTCCGGAACTTTTCGATATGGCCGCCATGTTGGCCTGGGCGGCCTCTAAAAGCATGGGGTCAATCACAAAATTCTAGTGCATCTAGTTTTTGATAAAATTTCACTAGAAAACTAGAAAATTCTAGTGCGTGAAGTTGGCTCTCAGTAGTTTTTCATATAAATTATATAGCCTTTGGTGTGAAGTTGGCTTCGTTTGTGACGTCATTCTTCGCACTAGATTTACTAGTTTTTCTAGTATTCACTAGCGTGATTCGCCCCATGTCTAAAAGTCACTTTTCGACTTTTTTTCCTATGGTCACCGAAGCGCCATGACTTGACACCCCCCAGACATACGCATATCATTGGGCAAAAACCAAAAAGTTACCGTTTGGCCGGACACATAATGGTCATTAGCTCGAAAACTAGCCTTTCATGGTCACTTGAAAATTTCACCGATTTTTAGGCCCAATTCTAAGCTATAAAATGCCGCATAGCTTATATCCATAAAAATTCTTGTCTTCACGATATGGCCTTTGGTAGTGCGAATATGGCCAAAAATGGCCAAAAATGACAAAAAATGTTACTTGTAACATTTGAAGTATTTTATGGGCCAAAATGTACTCCAATGAATCTGTAAATATGCTCTGTGACTAGCCAAACAAAATTGAACAAAATATCGACCGTTTTGGATGGCTATTCTACCAAAAATCGGCTAAATTTACCAAAATTCGAATTTTCACAAAAATGTCTAGATGTATGAAATATGACATTTTAACAACAAATAACTACATGTTTGATAGTTTCCTCGCATAAGATCGATAAAATACCGAATCTTATGTCTCCTCCCACCAGGCCAGAAGGTGCACTATCGCCGGGAGAGGTGCATGCGGTTGGTCACAAATGAAACCAAAAGAAATCTAAAAGTTTTGCGGAACGTTGCTTCATTGCATCAGCATGAACTCAAAGTAAAAAGAAGAGAATTTCTGCAACGTTTCGAATATACAAATGTATATTAAGTTTATATTCACAGTACACAGAAAATATATCAACCAACTATTTTCGTCACAAAATTGATATCAGAAATTTTGTGTTTCAAATTTTGGTTTCGTCGCTCGTTCTTCACCTTGATAGAGGTTTTTTATTTGATATAATGGAAACAGTAATTGCAAAATGCATTTAAGAGTTCTTACACAAAACATTGTACGAAAATGTATTGAAACTGTGCGATTGTTCTTTTTTTTAATTTCAGATTGTTGTCATCGTTTTTGTGTTATAGCCTAAAAGGCTTATGTGCGTTCTGGTATACCTATATCTATTACTTCGAATGTATATTAATTTAAATTCAAATTTAGTTTAAGCGTTTAAGCACATACAATGATTTAATGCTTATATACGATATGGCATAAAGTTAATAAAACACTCAAGCGGTTACACTTAAAACATACATTTGTTTTAGTTTTTATCTCAGTCTTCTTCAATGATGTCATCCACATGTTTTCTTTTGAAACCATTATAACAAAGAAATACGTCATATTAAACCAAAGTTCAAATTGACTTAAATCAATTGGGTATGATTTAAACTTAAAAAATGGGATGACCTTTGGTACGATTGTACCAAAAATTCAATCACACTCAATTCATATACAGATTGATTATTAACTTTTTTTTTCTTTTGGCCTCTGTAAAAATAAAATAAAAAACCTGTAAATCTAATGAAGTAAAAGTTCAATGTTTATAATATTCTTGTTGGTTCTCAACTCGTTTCATTACAGTAAAAAGAAAACATTGCAAACATGAAATGTATATTCTTTTATTTCTTTTTTAATTTGGCTTATTCTTTTTCTGTGTTTTACAACAGCATCGATTATGAGCACAAAATCCATGAAATAAATTTGAATGTTTATGTTCTGAGAAGTCATTATTCTATAAATATTGAATGAAATTTTACTGCATAAATACATCGTAATTTTAGATTTTCAAATAAATTTAGCCCACATTTCGAAATCTTTGATGAAAGAAATAAACAAGTTTAAGATATTCATTTTAAACATGACTATTATTTAATAAATTTGATCAGATTAAGTGATTTTTCAATCGATTATTAATCTGTATTTGTTATTCATAACAAAATGTTCCGGTAAATCACTTCACACTTTGTTGAAATAAAAAAGCCGCACTTTTCAAACTGTGCGTATCATAATTCAGAAAAGGGAAACGCAGTAGCCTTTCGTGGTAAAATAAATTACAGTTTGAGCATGTGTTCGTGCTTATGTCAATAATTTACATTTCAATATCGCTTTAAATCGGGCAAACAAGGCGTGCTATAAATGTAAATATGATGATTTAATGGAAATATTTGTAATGCCGCGAAAATAAGAATGTGTTCCACTTTTGATCGTTCAGGGAATGTTATGAGTAATCATGACACATAACACAACACACAACACTATATTGTGTACAAAAATGTCATTTAATCATTCAAAATGTGCTTATAGTCTCAAAAATTTCTGTATTTCATTCGATACAAATTGATTTAATACAATTCACAGTGTTTTTTATTGATTTTAAATAAGAACATTAAAAAACTACGTTTTGTTACGTTCGTAATTCTGGAAAATATGTGGATTCTCAAATGATTCTACATTTTGTCAATTGGGTAAACACTTAAAATTCTTTTTTTGGAAAAGATAAATTAATTAATCATCTATTAACAACGGTACACGAAGTTTACGTCTTAGCTTTATTACAATGAAAATCGATATATGGAGTACAGTCTCTGTACAGGATCGATCCGATCCAAAGTAAAATAACAACTGAATGATTTTGCTGTCATCATCTTGGGTTTATAGCGGCTGGTGGCTGGTGTTATTGCTGTTGCTTCTTTGGTAAACCTCAGAAAAAAATGTTATATAACTTAAAATAGTATGTACATTATACATCATGTGTTCTGTTTATTTCATACAAACACTAAAAATCAGTAATTTTCTACACACACATCAATACTACAACAGTCATCCATTCTGCACATTGAGTTGATTTTAATGTGTTTTGCGCCTTATATCTTGTGCCTCTTATTGCTGTTTCTCTTTGTTATTTTTTCTGTTTATATATTGTGTGGCATGATACATATACCACGTATATATATATATATATATATATATATATATATATCTGTTTTCGCGAGACACAAGACTGTCCCGTTTTTGCTGATGATCGTGTCGCGACTAGAATTTTACGCCTTTTTACACTTTTTTTGTTTTCGTTCCGTGTTCTTGCAAACTATATCGTTCTATGCTATAGAATTGCATTCGTATAGTCATTGACTATGACTTTCCACATTACGTATCAAATATAAAGCGATTACAAATATACCTTTTATGGTCTTTTTCACTTTTCATTGGTTTGGAAACTAAATTCATTTGCTTAGTCAACACAAATATAATCGCATCTACTAGTTCTTAGCTGATTTTTTTCTAGTAAAAATCATTTTTCATATCCGATTCAGAAAAAAAATGTAATACATATAATGTCATCAAACGTAATGAAAATTGTCAAAGTTAAAAATCAACAAGTCCCCGTTACTTGCACGAAAATTTATGACTTTTTTTCATGTCTGAAAAGAAAAATGTTGATACAAACATATTCATTCATTCCGTTCTTATTTATGAGTCTCCTTTTTATTCTCAGACACTTTGTTTCATATTCACATTTTGAATTCCATTACTTTTTCTTGACTTTGACCGTGGCTCATAAAATAAAAGTCGTTGAATGTAATGTATATTGTATATGGTTCATGTGTAAAATTTATTTTTATTATCCTTAAAATCGTTGAAAGTAAAAAATATCTTAGACTGAGCTTATAATGGAAGAAAATTATGAATTTATAATAAAATTAAATAAACTTTTGTACGTATTTCGACTAATGTGTAACGACTACTGTGTAACTAAAATCGCAAACAAGTAAAATGTATAAAATATAGCGTGTGCAAGCGACATTATGACTATAACAAATGAAATAAATTTGAATCAATATTACCTCTGTCCAAATATGTATATATCTCGTTTGAAAAGTTCTAAGCACTTTGTACAGGGTGGGCCAGAATAACTGAAGGGTTTTTACTTAACATACTTACGACTGTACAATGACTTTTGATTCACCCGGTCTTGCAGCGCTATGTTTGTTGATCCTTAGCCTAACTATTATGATAATGCGTATTTTGATTCATTTTTTATTTGAGACGCAATAAAAATGGATGTGAAACGTCAACTCATCTTAAATTTGCACAAACGCGGTTTTCGAAACATTGATATTTTCCGACAGCTACAAAACGAACAGGTTTGCATGACATTTATTGAACGTACTATCAAACGATACAAGGAACGTGGAACTGTCGACATACAAAAGAAACCCGGGAGAAAAAGATCCGTTCGTACAAAAGCACTCATCAAACAAGTCAAAGCCAATATTCGCCGAAATCGCCAAAGAAGTGTCAGAAAGCTGGCTCAAGAGCACAATATTAGCCGGTCTTCGATGCGACATGTTTTAAAAGAAGACTTAAACACGACACCTTTCAAAAAAAGCTGTCGACATGGTCTTACGACCAAAAATATGCAAGCCAGAAAACAAAAATGCAAAGAACTGTTGCGCCGGCACGCCAATTCAAATATTGTTTTTTCGGATGAAAAGTTGTTCGTGCTACAGCCAAGTCTCAATGCACAAAATGATCGTGTGTAAGCAATGTCTGCAATAGACATTCCTGAATACGAAAAGACCGTTGAACCTTTTCAGAATGTTCCAAAAGTGATGGTTTGGGGCGCATTTTCGGCCGATCGAAAATTTCCTCTGGTTTTCATAAAAAAAGACGTAAAAATCAACGCTAGATTTTATAAACAAGAAATATTGTGCAAAAACTTTTTGCCACAAGCTAAGAGATTGTTTCGAAACGAACCATGGGTGTTTCAGCAGGATGGCGCACCTGCACACCGAGCTAAAAAAAGTGCAACAGTCGTTACGAACAAATTTGGCCGATTTCATTGACAAAGATTCATGGCCGCCATCGTCTCCCGACTTAGACCCATTGGATTTTTTTGCTTGGGGCTACATGACATCGAAGCTCAATAGTCTAAAGATTACGAAGGTTACCAATTTGAACACATTCAAAAAGAAAATCGTAAAGATTTGGAACGATATTCCCATGAATGAAATTCGTGCCGCGTGCGACTCGTTTTCAACACGTCTGAAGCTGGTAATCAAACAAAACGGTGCAAGAATCAAATCCAAAGGCTAAATCTATCTATCTACAATTAATTTTCGATACACTTTTCATACAACGATTTGCGAGCATTGATTGTTCATATTGTAAGATGTACTAGCTTAATTTGGAACATCTTGTGCTACTGCTGTTGTTATAATGGCGAAGGTTTTATCGTTCGCATCAATTTGTGCACTAGTCATTGGTTCACTTTGAATATTGGGTAAATTTAGTTGATATTGATTGAGAACGTCATATGACGAAGACAAATGAGTTACATTGCTTGTTTTTTTAAATAATTCACTAAAATTCGGCAATGGTCCACTTGATTTATTAGTTTCATTTTTTTCGATGTTGTCCATTGTAATGAAAGTAGAAACAATTATTTAAAAATTATACACTGCTAGTCTTGGGCCATAGACCGTACTTCTAAGAAAAACAAACTACCCGACATCCATATCTTGAATTTTTGAGTGAAGAGCCACCAAATTTTATAATAAATGACACCTTGAAAATTGACTTTACCAATATTTTCCTCATATCGGCTCAACGAGCTTCTATGACAATGTACTTTAGAAAGTTAGTAAACCCAACAAACTATATACCGTTCGAAAGGTAATTTTATTAGGAATCTCAAATATTGTAGATCTTTTTATGACGACAACTGAATCGTTGCGGAGAAAAATTAGCTGTTATTTTTCTCCAAATAATACTGCAACATGAAGTTTTTTTCACACGGTTTATTTCTTGTAATACAACAAATAAACTATTCATAAAAAACTTTATGTTGCAGTATTATTTGGAGAAAAATAAGAGCTACTTTTTCTCCGCAACGATTCAACTTATCTTCAATAAATTACATCTTGAAAGTTGACTTTGCCAATATCTTCAATCGTTTGGCGCTGAAACGGCCACTTCAAAGGTGTTCCAGAAGTTTGAATGCATAAATAAGCTATATTCCATTGGAAAGAGGACATTGAGAGCCGTTGAGAGCTTTCTTCAACCAAAGTTTGATCAAAATCATAAATATGAGGTTTGCTTACAATGAGACTGGGAAGCCGATTTTTCTCAAAATTTTTATATTTCGGTCAAACAGCCAGCGTAAAACGTCACCCAACATGCCAGAAAATCCATAATTTATATACCATTCGAAAGGTAATTTTATAACTCCAACTTTTTTTCAACAAGTTTCATCTTGATCCAAAATAATAAAATTAACACTGGAGTAAAACTCATTACGTTATATATGCAAAGAAACCTCAAAAAATGATCGATGAACGAAAAAATTAAATGGGGAGCATCTATGGGGAAAATGAAAGAAACGTCTGGAGTGTTTTTCATGCCCTATGGAATGCCAAAAACCCAAACTAGTTCTTGGTTTTCTCCAAAACCACTGAACAAATTTACAGGGTGGCGCATATAATAGGGCCACTATAAGGGGGTATGTTGGGGGTAAAAAATAAAAAATTTCTATCGGTTTAGATGCACCCCACTATGTCAAAACTTTGTCCGATCAAAAAATAATGTACTACAAAGTTGTTAACCCCTTAAAAAACCCAAAGGTGTGATTGCAAAAAACATCATATTGATGTTATAAATATGTACTTAAAAAGCACAAAAAAGTCGTTTTGTGTTATTCTGCCTTCTAAAAATTAATTTTCTACAGACGTTCTAAATTCTTAAGAAGCCGAGGAACAAACTACTTAAGAATATCGAGCACTATATATCTATCACGGGGGACGGCAGTCCCTCAAGTGACGCAATACCAACATACATATACACATATTTATATCTATTGAATATATCGAGAAGAGAGTATGTTATTCAGCGCTTATGGCTGAGTAATGTCTGAATAAAAACATACTATCCTCTCAATATTTTCAATAGATACAGTATGTTTCATTATAGAGGCCGGTTGATTTAACCACAAAAAGTTTCAAATATCTTGAAAATATTTTTGGTGTCGCCAGATGGCACTCTAAGCTAATGGGCCAATTAACATTGATTGACAGTTCTCAAATCACTACAGTGATTGTTGTGCAACGAAAATATGGATTCGGAATATTTTCATAAGCGTTTTGAAGCGGTGTTTTTGCATTTACATCCAAAAGGACCAAAATTGTCAATAGTGAAGGCCGCAAAACACATTAAAAAGTCAAGAGAGTTCGTAACAAAGTGGATCCAGCAGTATAAGCACGAAAAAAATTTGAACGATCAGCCCAATGTTAAGCCAAACCGAGCCTCCGCGCCAAAGCAAGATAAGCGAATAGTTAAGTTGTTCGACGAAAATCAAGGTATGTCGTTAAGCCAAGGTGTTGAAAGGCTACGCCATCTTAAAATAGAGGTCTCGCGCTCCACACTCAAGAAAAGATTGGATGTCGCCGGTGTTCATTATCGCAGTACAATGAAGAAATCACTTTTGACAGAAAACCAGAAGAAAAACGCATTGACTGGGAAAAGCAAAATTCAACAAGAGATTGGAGCGAAGTTTTACGAGTATACACTGACGAGTCATTCTTATGGCTGGTGAATAGCACTACCCATGCCTAGTCTAGAGCCGAAAAGAGAGTGGTCGTTCGCACGGTAAAGCATCCGAAAAAGGTGCATGTTTATGGTTGCTTCTGTGAAGCTGGTTTTGGAAAGTTGACCGTATTCACGGGCATTCTAAACGCTGTGAGGATGAACCAACTTTATTCGTCGACACTGTTACCCACCGCCAAGAAGTTCTATGGCAACGGCAATTCGAATTGGCTTCTATTAAAAGACAACGATCCAAAACACAAAAGTCGTCTCAGCACCGCTGGAAGGAGGAAAATGACATTAAACAAATGAACTGGCCACCACAATCACCCGATTGCAATCAGATCGAAAATGTTTGGGCCATTATTAAGGCAAGGCTTCGTGGTAAAACACACCGCAATTTGAAGCAGCTCAGTTCATTCATTCAACGCCAGTGGAAAGGTTTTCGCCTCAGTTCATTCATTCAACGTGAATATGCTGAAAATTTGAGCAAAAGTATGCCGAAAAGATGTGCTCGTGTGATCGAAAAGGATGGTGAATGGATTAAATATTGATTATTGGCGCCGTAGCTTAGAACTCGAATAAAATGAATATAAAATAATTTTGTAAAACTCTTGAGTTTTAATATGAAAAATCAACCGGCCTCTATAATGAAACATACTGTATGTGCAGTCTATGTATTTCGGATGGATATCCATCCGAGATATTTTAGAATATCTGGATATTTAACGCAACTGCACAGAGCCAGAGCTGTGTGCGTCGCACATATAATCTACGGTATGTCGCTACACATAAAATACAGACACAGTGTGACTGTGTACGTGCGGCACTTGATACACATATACGTCGCGACATACCGTAGATTCTATTTGCGACGCACACAGCTCTGACGCTGTGCAGTTGCGTTGAATATCCAGATATTCTAAAATATCTCGGATGGATATCCATCCGAAATACATAGACTGGATATGTGGTATGTATTTTTGCGTCACTCTATATAATATATACTATATAGAAATGAAAATCGATACCGCTGACTTTCGGAAAAGGGTTTTTGCATATTTTAGTAGTGCTCGGAAAAAAAAGGGTAAATTTTTGGTTTTGTCCATTTTTGACCACCCAAACCAGAAACAAATTTCCGAAAAATGGCATATTCGGAAACTGGAGTTCGGGTTGATAATGTTGAAAGAAAAAATTGTTGGAATCGATCGAAAAGTGTCCGAGATATGATCATGTCAAAAAATCTTTCGAAAAAACACGACATTTTTGAAATGGTTTGTTTGTTTGTCCGCAAATTTTTGTCCGTAGTTTTTGATAAATTACCGGAGACCGATTTTATTCGAAAGAAGATGGAAAACTGAGCATATATGTGTCTTCGAATTTTTCGATTTCGTCACGCAAGTGTCTGAGGTCTCGGTTCGAAAAAAAGTGGAATGCACTTTTTCAGTTTTTCATCGAATGGCCTACTTTCTGTGCATATGAAAGATGAAGTAATGATCTATATGTCGTTGGAAAGCTACGAACCTCAGTTATCCAGATCTGACGTCAGATTGGAAAAAATTTCTAAAATGATCGCTAGATGGCGCTGCATGTGTTGTTTTTTTTTTGGAAAAATGACCATGACTTTTTTCACACCAACCAAAATTAAAAAAAATACATACATAGTTTTCTGGTGGAAAACTGAGCGTTTGTTGGCGACCAAATTTGTGATGTTTTGGTGTGTGTGTTATCTGGGAAAATTCGTAACGAACCAATTTTTTTCTTCAAAAGTAATTTTTTTTTCGAAAATTTTCGATTTTTGGATTATTCCTCGACACGGGTCAACAAAAATACGTCATTTTTGGCTCTTTGGTCAAATATTGAGCTCCCCTTGAGCATACAGCGCAGAAATTTTGAAAAAACTTCAGTGGAGATGGTTCAATCCATTTATGACCATACTATTAAAAAATGGGGAAAAATCGAGTATGGAGAAGAAATTTGGAATCCACACTACAACAATATGTGTAAAAGAATAGAGTAAATACAAAAGCAATCTTTATTGTATGCACTGCGGAGAATGGCTTGGAACGATTTTAGACTGTCAAAATACGAACACGGACTACTATTTCTGCAAATGATTACTCTTAAGCAGAGACGCAAGATGGCGCAGGTGTCTTTTATTTTCGAAAATATTAACGGAGATCTAAAGTCAACTCACGTTTCAATTCAGCACATGATATCAGAGCAACACCAATTAAAAGAACTGATTACACAAAATATTAACCAATAAATTATATGCTTACATCATTCAACGATTTTTATACCAAAAACTAACAAATGGACTTGTTGTATTGAACAAGAGTGAGAAAAAATCATCACTATTTGTCATTCGAAAGCCATAGTACATCATATGATCAGTCATTAGTTATCGTCAAAATGTTAAAATGAACCCGCAGAAACATAAAGAAATCACTCTGAAAACTAGAGGTGTCAGCGAACGCGTTCGTAGAAAAAAAAGTTCGTTCGTATAAAAGAAATTGGTTCGTGTTCGTTCCCGTTCGCAAAGGACACCAATACGAACGAACGCGTTCGTTCGCAGAGTGGAAATTGGTGTTCGTGTTCGTTCGCGTTCGTAAAGTACACCACTACGAACGAACGCGTTCGTTCGCAGAGTGGAAAATGGTGTTCGTGTTCATTCGCGTTCGTAAAGACTGGTTCTACGAACGAACGCGTTCGTTCGCAAAGTGGAAATTGCTGTTCGTGTTCGTTCGCGTTCGCAAACGACACCACTACGAACGAACGCGTTCGTTCGCAAAGTGGAAATTGGTGTTCGCATTCGTTCGCGTTCGCAAAGACCCGTGCAATGGAAATGCTCCCTCGCGTTTCTTATTCCAATGATTTGTTGCTCTTTTTTCTTTTTCTCTTCTTTTATTCGCTTTTTAATTAAACAAAGTTTTTACAAAAAATTAATCGAATGCGTTTCTTAGTAGCATTATATCGTTTACAATTTCTGGCATTAGACGAGATCTCTTTTCATTAATAATTATTCCTGTGGTAGAAAACGATCTTTCTGCTGATGTTGAAGCAGCTGGTGTACACACTGTGTTTAAAAACAATCGAAATATATTCGGAAAATCGTCTTTATGTGAGTTCCAACAGGCATATAGATCAAAAGTATCGGCCGTTGTATAACATACTGTAGAAACATACTTTGAAAAAGTATTTTATTCCAATGATTTGTTGCTTTTTTTTATGATAACTTTTTAGTCCTGCAGGACTAGGAAATGCAAGAAATTCCATTGGGAGTAGTCATGCACATGGTTGTACACTGTACGTAATATCATAATGATATTATTATGTTTGACAATTAATTTTATATCGCACGAAACCAAAAGTATTTACGCGAGGGAGCATTTCCATTGCAATGTGATGAGATTTAAAAAATTTCCGTTCGATACTTTTGAGCCCGGTGGAACTCACATAAAGACGATTTTCCGAATCTATTTCGATTGTTTCCAAACACAGTGTGTACACCAGCTGCTTAAAAATCAGCAGAAAGATCGTTTTCTAATTAAAACGAATAAAACGCATTGGATTAATTTTTTGTAAAAACTTTGTTTAATTAAAAAACGAATAAAAGAAGAGAAAAAAGAGCAACAAATCATTGTAGAAAATTTCATGTCCAAAAATTGTTTTTGGTTCGTGTTCGTTCGCGTTCGCAAAGACTGGTTCTACGAACGAACGCGTTCGTTCGCAAAGTGGAAATTGGTGTTCGTGTTCGTTCGCGTTCGCAAAGACTGGTTCTACGGACGAACGCGTTCGTTCGCAAAGTGGAAATTGGTGTTCGTGTTCGTTCGCGTTCGTAAAGACCGGTTCTACGAACGAACGCGTTTGTTCGCAAAGTGGAAATTGGTGTTCGTGTTCGTTCGTTTTCGTGACGGACGCGAACGAACACGAACGAACACGAAAACGAACGTTCGTTGACACCTCTACTGAAAACGCCAATGACAATAATACTGACCTTTGCTTTTGATTGAAATATCTACAAATTAAACGTTTTTTAAATAAAAAATATGGGAGAATACTCGTACAAAATTATTTATTTTTTCGCAAAAATCGAAATAGTCATTAGTTTGTGAATGTACTCAGTCCGTCTTGATTTTTTTTGTAATACTTTTGAATAGCAATTTTTCCTTCTCGTCAAGTTCTTTTAATCTTAAATTCAGAGTTGAAAAGTACTTTGGTGGGTTTAAAGAAAGTGTATGATATAAAAGTTTTCTTTCTTCTTCAATCGAATGCAGTTGCAGCAAAACGCATGCTTTTTTTGATATCGGGCCAGATGTGCGAACAGTCTTCAAAGCTTCTTCTCTTATTTTCGATCTGTTTGGAATGGCTGATGACGTGTTTGTTCCTATGGACAAATATTTAACATGAATCTTTTTTATTTAAAGTTTTGTAAATGTAATTTACCCGAATAATATGGTGCACCAACACTTGTCGTTTGAGTTTGATTGGAAGTTGTCGCTTGAGTTGAATTATTTCCAAAAATTGGCATGCATTGATTGTTCATATTGTAAGATGTGCTAGCAACATTTGGAATATCTTTTGCTACTGTTGTTGTTGGAATGGCTGATGATTAAAAAAACATGAACTTTTTTCTTTCAAAGTTGTGTAAATGAAAACTACCTGAATAATGTGTATAAACATTTGAAATTTGATTGGAAGTTGTCGCATGAGTTGAATTATTTCCATCGATTGTCATGCATTGATTGTGCATACTAGCAAAATTTGAAACATCTTGTGCTATTGTTGTTGTTGGAATGGCTGATGTTTTATCGTTCGCATAAATTTGTGCACTAGTCATTGGTTCACTTTGGATATTGGGTAAATTTAGTTGATATTGATTGAGAACGTCATATGACGAAGACAAATGAGTTACATTGCTTGTTTTTTTAAATAATTCACTAAAATTCGGCAATGGTCCACTTGATTTATTAGTTTCATTTTCTTCGATGTCGTCCATTGTGAATGAAAGTAGAAACAATAGTTTAAAAAAAATATTATTAAGTGTACTTGATTTTGTTTCAAGAAATCTATGTTTATTGATTGCCGCTAAAATGTCGAATGCAAAATGCAACTTACCTTCGGAAGAATAACGGATCTTGATAACTTTAACAGTTTTTTCGTAAAATTTGTTAACAACAACACTTCTACGTCTTTCACGCATTATTATGCTGCTCAAAATATATTTTTCTGACTTCAAAAACTGTTTTTTTTTTCTAAATATGCGAAACTATTTTTTATTTTGGTTTTTTTACGTGTTTTAATTATACATTTAGAATTTTATTCGGAATATAACTGATCTAAATAAATTTATATTTATATTTATTTGTAAATATCATTAAAGTACGTCATTTTGACATTTCATATCTGTTATTGTCTGTGTCTTTGTTTAATATCATTGCCTGATGCAAACTTTGCGCTTGATTGGTTTGCCCGATGCATTTATCAATAAATAAAACATTGAGTCAATAAAAAAATTATTTTCAATAACATTATTTCGATCGGTTTATTAAATACTGTAATTTAATTAAAATCTATAACAATTTTAAATGTCCAGTAACTAGATCCACTTCATTGGCAGGCGCTGGGCCGATTGCCAAAACAGTCTTCGAATTCGGTGCAATTTGTGTTCGTCCGGCGTCTCGAATAAGACATGTATTGAGATTTTTTGCACGAGCTGCTTTATATACGACCATCATATCATCTTCGCTGTCGACTTTAACGGCAATCTTAGCACTTCCAGAATCATCCCAGCGTCGAAGTAGATTTGGAAACTTTGCCATACAATTTTGGTATGCACCAACAGCTGCATGACCACACTGTGCACCAATTTTTCCTTTGCCCATTTTCAAATCATTCCGAACGACGAGTATCATTTTCAGTTCACCACCGTCTGCATATACCTATAAACAATTGCACATTAATTTCATCATTTAATGCAAAAACAACAACAACAACAATAAACTACCTTCTTCTTTTCGCTTGTTTCTTTCCCTGTCGGCTTGGTTTGTTCATCGAAATTTCTCATTCCATAGCGGTATCCGGCCAAAAATGATAGTAAGATAGCAACACCACTAACTAATTGCGTTGAATCGAGCAATTTCTCCATTTTTTTTCTATTGAAAACTATTATCAACGAATAAATAAGAAAAACATCCGTTTGTCTACCACCGAAATAACCACATTCATCGGTTTTCTTCACAGTTTGTCGTGAAGTTGATGCCGGAACATTTGACATTTCAGTCGTTTCAAAATGTTGAAACGATTGTAATGAAATATGTCACGTGAAACCAGACGAAACGCATAGAATATGGACTTGTTGTATTGAACAAGAGTGAGAAAAATCATCACTGTTTGTCATTCGAAAGCCATAGTACATCATATGATCAGTCATTAGCTATCGTCAAAATGTTAAAAAATATTTTGGTAATATTGTCCCTATTTGCAGCAGGTAAATTGGATTTTATTTTATTTTATTCAATAATAAATCAATTTGAATCAATTTTTTTCCAATATACTTTCCAATAAATATAAATTTGCTGGTATTTTCACTGAAAATTGACAATTTTCCTGATTATCGATTATCCATGAAAAAAAAAAACAAGTGACATGATAAACCTTGTGACATATCATCTGGACTACTGATTCAGATATTATAATTTGTGATAACGTTTTATTCATTTATTTTCCAGCCTATGGCTCTGGCAAGCTTACAGTTTTAGAAAGTCCCGAACAAATATTATTCAAGAAAGCAGATAAATTGGATGGAAAATACATGGGTCATGTGTTTAGCGCTTGTACAGGCCATTCAATCAGCGAATCAGTGCCGCTGAAAATGCGATTCACCTCACCATTCGATTTAGCTGAAAACGTTTGCTTGATTAATATCAATGGCGTCAAAGAGTTTACACCACAAAATGTTAAACCAAAATCCGAAATCGATGTTTATGGCACGGAAAATTCGAATGAAGTGTTTGTGAACAAACTTTATGAGGAAGATTCATCAATTGTAAACATTAATTTGGATAATGGACTTGAGACTGTAAGTTTTTAATTAGAAAATGTTCAATGTTTTATTTTAATTGTGATTGCGATTTGAAATTAATCGAATTTTGTTTATTATTATTATTTTAGTTATCAACCATGCAAGACTGGTGTGAAACACCATTGAAACCAGAAAACTCAAAACTATTCAAGTCATTGAAAGGCGAGAAAAATGTTGTAATGGAAGCAGCTATCGTAATGTCAGTTTTGTCAGAAGCAACCTGCAAAATGCCAGCTTTCTTGCAAATTGACTGTAACATTGATTCGACCAAATCACGTGACAAGGACTTGGTACCACTCTTTGAAGCATTTGAGACATTTGGCCAGAAATATCAAGAAAATTCAAATGGACTTGGACTTCTTGCCATTTTCACCACCGTTGAACAACAAACACATAAGCGATCACGCCGTGAAGCCGGTATTACTCCAAAAGTAAGTACCAATTTCACAGTATTATATCACATTCATATACGCATACGTAACATTAACATTCGATTCAATTTCAGTTCGAAGACCTTAATTTGGCTGATTCCTATTCAGAAGATTATCCAGTCATTTTCAACATCATTTTATGGTTTGGTGTATTGATTGCCTTCTCAATGTTGGCCATTTGCTATGCCATTGCCACAATGGATCCAGGTCGGGACTCCATTATTTATAGAATGACATCAACTCGAATGAAGAAAGACAATTAAGCTTACCAACAATAAAACGAAGAGTCGGCGTCGAACGACAAACTTCAGTTGCAAGTGTAAATGCATTGCATTTGTATTATAATTAAAACGGGGGACGATGATCAATTGGAATTTTCATAGTCAATGTACTTTAGAAATAGAATCTTTTTTTTCTTGGAAAACATATATATGCATATAAATCATGATTTCCTCCCTCGTTTCATTCTATATCAAAATTCCTAAAATGTATAAACAAGATCTTAGGATGAAAAAAAATTAACTTAAAATCAACCAATATTGAGACCTAAGAGTTCAGTGCATATTTTAAAAGAAAGCAACATAGTATTATTTGATAAATTGTTAGTAGCCGAGGAATAACCGAGTTTTTTTTTTCAATTTTTGTTCACCGTTTTTTTTGCTCTTGTTCCATTTGGAAGAGATGAAAAATTTCATAAGATTCACAAGCATAATACGCACACACACACACACATACCAACACCGCATGACCATGCAATCTGTTGTGCAATCCGAAAGAAAACATGAACCTCGATTAGATAAGAATAACGAATGTAAATTGAACAAAAATGTTAAAATACAAATATTTACGAATGTAATGAAAGAAATAAAAAACTATATCCCAATGATTTCATGTGATTCGAGCTATGAGATGAATGAAGCATTTCAAGTGTGTAATTTTACGTCAGTTGGGTCACTTGATTTGGCCTTCATTTAATTTGCATCTCAAGCGTTAAAATCTGTATAGAAAACACTTTATTTAAGGAATGTAAAAATGGTATGTGTTGAAAACGAATAAAATAAACTGCATTCGGTAATAACAATATGAACTAAGCTCCAAATTTATTTCGTTTCTGTTTTTTCCCTCGTGGCATCTCACCTAAAAAAAACCTGACAGTAAAAGACGTGTAGGTATTTTTTGCTTAAACTAAAATATATTTAGTTTTATTTCTTTTCAGAATGTCATTGCGAACAATTTTCAAATGGCATTTTATGATGATTTTCCATGCTGTTCTGGGATAGTTTCAATTTTATTTCGGATATAGTTGATAGAGTAAATTTGAATTTATTGTCTTGCATTAACGATTTGTACGAATTCTGGTTTCAATGATGCACCACCAACCAAGAAACCATCAATATCAGGTTGTGAGGCCAATTCCTTGGCATTTGCAGCTGTTACTGAACCACCGTATTGGATGCGAAGTGAAGCTGATACATCAGCCGAAATGTTATCGACCAACCATTTTCGCAAAGCGGCATGAACCTCTTGTGCTTGTTGTGGTGTTGCTGTTTTGCCAGTACCAATAGCCCAAACTGGTTCATATGCAACAACAACATTTGACCAATCCTTAACAACATCAGCAAAGGCCTTCATTTGACGGAATACAACGGCTTCAGTTTGACCGGCTTCACGTTCTTGCAATGTTTCACCGATGCAAGCAATCACTTTCAAACCAGCTTCCAAAGCGTGCACAACTTTTTGAGCGATCAATTCATCGGTCTCACCAAAAATTTGACGGCGCTCCGAATGGCCGAGAATGACCCATGTTGCTCCAACATCTTTTAACATGGCTGGTGATACTTCACCGGTGAATGCACCGCTTGGAACTTTGTAAGCATTCTGTTGAAATTATTGAAATCATTTTTTAAAAAGAAGTGTCGAACACATTTAACATTAGAAAAATTTCATTGACCGATGATTCCTTAAAAAAATCAATGTGACCACAAAAAAAAAGAAGAAAAATATTCAAATTACCTGACCGGCAACAGCAATTTCTGCTGGCAAAAGTGATTTTGCATATTCAATATAAACAGCTGGACATCCAACAACAACTTCAGTATTTGGATCCAATGGTCCAGCAACCAAATTGCGGCAAATTAAATTGATGGAGTTTTTATCTCCATTCATTTTCCAATTACCACCAACACAGAAACGACGTGCCATTTTGATTAAAATAATTGTAACTGTGAATAAAATGCAAAAACCATATTCAAAATTAATAAACAATTATCAAATCTTTGCGTATTTCACAATTTCTATAAAAAACAAATCATCGATTGTATAATAATATCGAATGTTGAAAAGTGAATATAATTTTTTTCACCGAAAAATTACAAAGTATTTGAAGTGAAAATCTCAGCTCACAAAGATCGGCCAACTACTTACCTCGTTCAACGGGCAAATGAAGTGAATTTTCCAAGAAATTCCTTGCTTTTAATATTCCTCCCTGTTATTAGAGAAATTTGCGACCTTTTGCTGACCTTGCTAGAAGTACGAATAGAATACAACAAATGATTATTTGACATGCTGATAATTGGCGCTGCTATCGATTCAAATAAGAATCGTTTAACTATCACTAGATGGCGCACAACCAATCGTCACCGAATCTGTATTAAAACGTAAATAAGCGGTATTGTTGCAATCAATTTCCATTCTGTCATATCTTGAAAATAAAAATGAGACAATGGTGAATATGCAGCCGATGAAACCGATAGCATTGCATATTATCATTAGCCGATAACATTATATATATACATAATACATATATATGGATCTATTTGTCTCAATTGATTGCTAAGCGTATTATTGTTAGATTGTTCTGTCGTTGTTGTTAAGTGGACAAGATATTAAAAATGCGAGAGAGAGAGAGAGAGAGAGAGAGAGAGAGAATACGAACATCAATGTTCGGTTATGGATTTATTTTGAATGGTAAAGTTGTCGTTGCATAAACAAACATCGTTGCAAATAAACATCAAAGATTTTATATTGTTACACTTGAATTCCAATCGAAGGGTGTACAATTGTACATTGCACACAATGTATGTGAACCCGTTGAGAAATACAATCAATGAGATGATGCGATCGTTTTTGCATCACAGTATAAGACGATGTAAGCTTTGAAATATTGTCTATACCATTGCACATTATTACATCAATGAAAATATATTCGGTTCGACGGTGTACTCTATTACGTACAGAGAGCATCTGGAAAATTACCATGTTTGATGACGGAAAAGAAGAAAGGATACAGAGAGAGAGAGAGGCTCATATATTTGTTGATATGAACGAATAATGTGCATAAAGAGCCTTTACTATTTTATTTAACCGATTATGTATGGTTCAAAGCTTAATAATGTGCACCACTACGCGCACCGGCTGTAATTTATTCGAACGTTCAATCATTTGACAAAAGATCTCATTATTTGCCGATGTTTATGACAAAATTATGATTTTTTCAAGTGCTTTGAATGTGTCGTATTTACGGCAAAAAAACGTTATTGATGATATTGTGGAACAAAGTCAAGTGAAAATATATACAAAACCTATACAGTTTGATAGATACGGTTTATTTTATCGCACATAACAATGTTTAATATTTCTTTTTCTAAAAATACAAACACACACACACACTAAACGAATTTGTCTATGGTTGAAGGTGCGGATAGCACTGATGAGTTTTTATGCAAATTATTTGCCATATCGTTTACATAAACGTCGAGTGTCCATTAATTCGAGGCTGTTTTAAATGTTGATGCTTTCAAGAGAAGAAAATAAAATTGCGCCCTTGTTTAACTTTTTCCGAATATCGACGATGATTATGATTTTGAATGGCTGAGTAAAATTGTTTAACCATGAAATAGAGAACTTCAATAACACTTATCAGCGAAAATCCAATAATTACGCCAGACAATCCGCCCAATTCACCTGCAATAGTAAGCATTGGATATAACCAAACAAACAACAACAACAAAAACTAAAAAAAATACTCTGATTTTGTGTATGTCGATTGCATAATCATCTGTACAAAGCAAGAACATACCGTGCAAGCCACTCAATTGAACGTCAACCAAAGAACATTCAAACAAAGTTATTATGTGTGTACATTGTGAATGTTGCAATACTACATCACCGTATGATGTGACTCAAAATCTTTGACCAAATTTTGAATCGTTATTAAAGCGTGATTGAATTCCAGATGATTTGAACACTACACCGTTTCGACGTTATATTGACGTAGTGTGATAGTTCAGAAATGAAATTATTTGAATGATTATACACATAAACAGATTCATTTTGTGTTTTGTGGTATAAACCAGGTGGAACAAATTGCGATTTTGGATGCTTTTGTCTGTTCGCAGATTTCTTTTTTTTTATTCTCTGTCTGTTTCATCTTTCCTTTTAATATTGTACAGTTGCGCTAGGTTACGCTTTCGAAACGATTTTTCACCGAAACGATATAAAATTAAAATGTGTGTGGGTAGAAATGCGATTGTTGCGACCATATTTTCGAATGCTCTATGACAAATGTGGAGAGGCGTTACTATGATACAATACTTTGTGTTCGTTCGTTCGTAGAATATTTTTTTGGTCTTTTTGTTCGTTCGTTCGTTCGTAGAATTGTATTGCGTTCGTTCGTTCGTTCGTAGAAAATGAAATGTTCGGATTGTTCGTTTGTTGTTCGTACGAACAACGAACAACGAACACGTTCGTTCGTTCGTAATTTACGAAAATTTATTTTCTCAAAATAAATATTGTGATACTAAATGTAAATTGGAAAAACCTTAAATCTATTTTTCCCGCTTTTCCGATGAGAAATCGTGAAAATGAGCAAAATTGACTCCCGTAAGAAAAAAAAATTCACTTTTTTTGTGTATTATACCCAGTCTCCGAGAGTTTCATATAAGGTTGCCATGTAACAGCAGACATTTTTTTTCGTCTTTTCGACCGTCTTTGTGCTGCTACATGACTAGCTTATATGAAACTCTCTCAGACTGGGTATAATGCAATAAAAAAGTGAAAATTTTTTTTTCGATATTTTTGTGCACTATACCGAGTCTCCGAGAGTTTCATATAAGCTTGCCATGTAGCAGCACAAAGACGGTCGAAAAGACGAAAAAAAATTAAAAAAATATTTTCGACTGTCTTTCTGCTGTTAACATGGCAACCTTATATGAAACTCTCGGAGACTGGGTATAATACACAAAAAAGTGACATTTTTTCTTTCTTACGGGAGTCAATTTTGCTTATTTTCACGATTTCTCATCGGAAAAGCGGGAAAAATAGATTTAAGGTTTTTCCAATTTACATTTAGTATCACAATATTTGTTTATTTTAGGAAATAAATTTTCATAAATTACGAACGAACGAACGTGTTCGTTGTTCGTTGTTCGTACGAACAACGAACGAACAATCCGAACATTTTATTTTCTACGAACGAACGAACGAACGTAATACAATTCAACGAACGAACGAACGAACGAACAAAAAGACCAAAAAATATTCTACGAACGAACGAACGGTTCGTTCGTTAGTGTTCGTGGACAGCTATGACTTTGTGCTTGTTTCACTCATATCCCATTTGTTTCATTCGAATTCGTATTCGTGTATATGTGATACGTATCTAAAAAATTTGAATCAAATAGATACCAATGCACACCGAATCCGTACATGGTTGTTAAAAGCTTAAGGTTATTAAACGCATTCAAAAGTGGTTTTTGAATTAAAAAAAGAAGATGACTTATACACAAGATGCAGAGGAAAATTGCAATAAAAAAAATGAAAATGATCAATCTGGAGTGTAATTCATACACTCAAAATATAAACCGTTCGAGAAAATTGTAACTCGTGTGATAATGACATTAAGCTTTTGCAATGAGCTTAGCTCTTGTCACTCTTTTCGTTATTGTTGTTATTATTGTTACATATCTATAACGTCCTCATGGAAACATACAATCACTAATTTTCAATTCGAAACTGAGAATCGTCTGCATCCTTCAGATAAAAATACAATAAAAAATGAAATGCACTTACTTAAGAGTTCAAACCAATTTTTCGCAACGTACTGTCTGTACAAGAAGTGATCTGGTCTCGCATAAAATAACCGCAACATTATCAGTTCACTATTGGCTACAGCATCTCTTCCACTGAAAATGTATTCAAAAGCAGAAATAAAACAAACAAAAAAAAACACCCATTTATTGTATAATACAATTTGTATTCGATATAGTGAAGTACTTTGGATGGTGTGGGGAAATAAACTACTTTGCTAATTATCTAATATTTGCGTTATGATGCAGAACATTCTTAATCGGTTAAGTTAAATGACGGTTGAAGACGCGTAATGGCTCGTGTAAATCTTATATGTGTGTATTTGGTATATAGTGTTTCTCGAAATTTGACTCTATTTATTTTGAGTGTGATGCTATTATGTCAGTTGTCTGAAAGCATGAAGTGTAAATGAAAATTTTCCTCGGCGACAATAAAAAAATATTATCCAAACTAATCAAGTTGTGGTTATCATAATGGAAGAGCCATTGGAAGGAATGGCAATGAGTTTACGCCAACCAAAGAAAAGCGCACGAACATAAAAAACAATTCAAAATTTTGATACCATGATAGCCCGAAGGTTTGTCATCATATCGTATAACGTACAGCTCTATAACAAAAGATTTTCGCCATTGAATGGATGCCGTTGAATCGATTTTAAATGGAAACAAAAATCTCGCTGTAATCTGTTACAACTAAAAAGTCATCGCACTTCGCACCACATGAATGGAAACTGAATAAAGCTGTAAGACTTGTATGGCTGACTAGGTGGCATTCAGCATGACTGCAAAGCATTTCAATCGCATTTTTTTCTCATCGTGTTAGTCAAAGAGCATAGCACCGAAGCGCATAGCATTGAGTAATTTCGTTGGGTTATTCAAAGATTTGAATTTCAAAATTCCAATGGGAAGAAGAGCAACAACAAAAAAAATACTGCAAAGCTGGAATTCGTAATATAAGCTGCTGCAACTTTTCCGAATTACTGTTGTGAAAACAATGCAGACGTTTTTTTTTTGGTGCGGGATTGGGGGGTGATCTAAAATGGACTTTTATTTTACGCATCTCCATTTTGCTTTCATAGATTTGATTCGTATGGAACAAAATGAACATGTAAATTTATACAATAAAATGCATATCCCTTGTTGAATTCGCCTCTATTCGTTTCTACATACACACATACACATATATATATTAGGGTGGGAGAATTTTTTTGCATCAAGTCCATATCGCGATTTTGGTATCATAACAAGAATTTTTGCCCAGGAACCATAGGTCCAAAACAGTAGTGTGTGAGGAAAAATTTTCAGGGGGGTGTTGATTTTTCGAAACCGAAAAATTCTCTAGCAAATCAGACAAATTTTCGTTTTTTTTTTGGAAGTCGATTTGTAATTTGATATCATTCGATCGAACAAAATTCCATTTTTTGACGAACATTTCCAAAACATGGCTGAAAATATGAATTTTTGTATGATTTTTTTTGTTTCACTTCAGATTTTGCTAAAACTTTATTCATATTACTTTTTCGACAAAAAAATAATCTGTACGCAATTCCAAGCCATTCCAAAAACAAATAATCATATCTCCCATACCAGAAAAATGCAGCATTCAGCATTCCATATTACCCTAGAAATGATATTTGTCTCATGCCCATTCAACCCAAGTCTCCCAACAATTCAGAGCCCCTCCCCATTAGGGTAAAATGCTACAAATCCAATTTTTCACTTTTCCACTTTTTGGGTGCGGAATTTCGCACTCAAATGTATGGCCAACTACAACTAATTTAATCCGCACATTTCATTTAGGCCGTTTGACTCCCCCTCCAATCACTCCCAAGGTGGGTCCCCATACAAAATTCCATGCCCCATCTAACCCCAAAAGTAATTACATATTCGGATTCTTCGTGGAAAATTACCCTCCATACATTGCCAATCTCTCTTGACATATATTTCACTCCATCTAACTTGAACCTTTAATTCGAGTCGAAAAGTGAAAACGACCCATGTTGTTGTGATTTCACAATGAGATATTCACCCCTTATGACTCAACTGGGCATACGTGTTTCTTCCCATGAAAGATACGCATATAAATGAAGTTTCCATTGTCATGGTGCTTTGGATGCTCTGAATGATCCGGCGTTGCTCTGAAAGTTCGGAGGGCGGGGGTCAAAATAATATAAAAATGAACCCTTGCCCTCCGAGGTCGTGCATGGGTACTAGGGTGTAGGAGAAATATGAAAAAATTGAAAAACAAATACGGCGAGGGTAATAGCCTTGGCTATGGGATCAGGGGATCACGAATCAGGCGTTTTTTGCGAAAAAAATATAAACTGAGATGTCACGGGTGAAGTATCAAAAATGGGAAAAATTGAGATTTTTTTGAATTTTTGTGTAAGGCATAAAAATACACTATACTTTCAGTATTACCCATTGGGTACCCCCCTAATTTTCAACGCTGAACATTTTAGGCTATTTAAAATGTGGGATTGCATTATGAGAAAGTCAAATATTCGTCGATTTTCCCTATAAAAGGCGATAAAATCAAAAAAAAAGTACGGCAGCGCCCTCTAGCGGCACTCAAAAATAAAAATAAATGGATTCCTCGACCCTAAAAATCCCCGCATACTCATTTGGCTAGAGAAAAAATAATGTTTTTTTTTTTGCCTTTTTAATGCAATATCATAGAAAAATGTGGAGGCTCGAAATTCATTTTAGACATATGGTTCCTTGGGCAAAAATGCTTGTTATGACCCATAGAACCAAAATTGAGCCACCCTAATAGACATATATTTCAGTTGAACAACAAGCTTAAATACAAGCACTTAAATTTTGTATGAGCTCATCCATTTCAGCGGTTAACACATGTGTTGACGAACATGGAACTTTTTCCGTGGTTGGCTTGCCATTTTTTTTGTTTTTATTACCGAACAAGCTATTTTGATAATGTTGTCATTGAAAAGTTTTGTGAGTAAAACTTACAATCGAGTCATGTTGCGTGTTTGGATCGGTAATGTTCGTAATGGTAATCGGGTTGTTGAAATTGAATATTGTGTTTGAGAGCAAGACGGTAAACATTGTAAGCATGACAAACCATTCTCGAATTCGGTTTCAACACCAACACTTTTCTCGCGTGAAAATAACAGCGTTTGCCATTTGACTGCAATGATATCGCATACGGGTCCCGGCACACATGCATACACACACGCATTTCGTGCATGCACAAATAATGCGGAATGGAGAGAAAAAAACCGATTTTTTTTTTTATAGAGTTAACTTGTTGATTAATTCATTGAATATTAGGTTATTTCCCATTTCTCTAAATGAGAAAATGGTACTTTTGAATTCAAAGAACACATAATTCTATATTATTTAATGGCATTCTTATAACGAAGCTATTGATAGTGGCACTTCCCGAAGCGAAAAATAAATATGAAACGCATGGAAATGTAACATATCTGAAAAAGTAGTCGATTACAGTTTGAAGTTTTTTCTTTGTCGCTTGCACATATATAGACTCTATTCGATTGCTTTGATAACTTATTGTTGCGATTCCTTTGAATTCGATAAATAAACAAAAGAAAGTATTTATGTTAAACGCATTTTCAGAATCGTACAACTCAACTCTGTGTAAGCAATTTTTGGCCAGTGAAGTCTGTATATGATTTGAATCAACATTAACACACAAGCAGTCCATACAACACATACAGATTTGAGTATGTCCATCGCGACAGGCTAACAATCATGCCGTTTCGTTTGCTCGTTAGTGTTTATACATACACAAACTGTGAGTCCGTTCATTAGTTCAGTACATACAATTTCCTTATTCAAACGGTTTATAAACAAAAAAATGGTGTGTTCACAGTATAGGAATATTTCTTACATCGGAATGCAGTGTGAGTTGAACCGCTTAGAATAAAAGTAGATAATGGTAGACAGTTAAAAAAAATCTCAATCATAAAGTGTTATGAAAATAATACTCAATCAAGGAAAAAAGTGAAAATAAAAGTCGATCAAGAAAAAAATTGAAAATAAAAGTCAAACACAATTTATGATCGATTTTTATTTTCACTTTTTTTCGTGATTGAGTATTATTATAACTCAATTTATATAATCATATATGATTGAGATTTTTTTCACCTTTTTCTTGATTGATTAGTGATTTTTCTAGTTGACCATTTAGTGATGTTCAAGAATTGAGAAAAAAATGTCTTTTTTCTTTCACTTTTTGTGCTCTATATTGTCAAATGACGCCTATTGATTCAATCACGATTGGTATTCGCTTACTATTCAATAGGCATCACATAGCAAGTTTATATGAAACTCTCGGAGACTCGGTATAGAGCACTCAAACAGTGAAAAAAGTCCAGATCGTGATTTAGATGATATGGAATACGATTTTTTTCATTCTGATTTCACCAGGTGATACAGAAAATTGAGTAGTATTTGAGAATTGAAGAAATTTTTTTTAAATATTTTTTTAATTTCTCGCGATTTTTCACCATCTACATGGGCGGCTTGTATGAAAAACACGGAAGACCGCTGAAATGGCAAACGCCAAATATATACGGACCTACAACAGTGCCATTTCATCAATAGGTGTCATTTGACAATATAGAGCACAAAAAGTGAAAGAAAAGACATTTTTTTCTCAATTCTCGAACACCACTAAATGGTCAACTAGAAAAATCACTAATCAATCAAGAAAAAGGTGAAAAAAATCTCAATCATAAATTGAGTTATAATAATACTCAATCACGAAAAAAAGTGAAAATAAAAATCGATCATAAATTGTGTTTGACTTTTATTTTCAATTTTTTTCTTGATCGACTTTTATTTTCACTTTTTTTCCTTGATTGAGTATTATTTTCATAGCACTTTATGATTGAGATTTTTTTAACTTTCTACCATTATCTACTTTTATTCTAAGCGGTTCAGTTGTGTGTTTTTTTTTATTTGAATTTGCATTCCTTGCATAATTTCTATGCATTCGATTGTTAAAGTGCTAAAACATATAATTTGAATGTGTCGGCGTATTTTGTATTTGTTTTATGCTTTCGAAGGAGTTAATTTCACTCTGTTGATGGTTTTTTATGAATACAACAGATTCAACATTCGGATCATTGTCAATAGATAATTTGCAAGAGAGATATTTTCAGTGAAACTTGTTTTCGATTTTGTTTTGTTTTGATATCAACAAAACGTTCTCAAGCTGAAACTGCAAATATTTCGATACAACTTTAGTGTGATGTGCATTCGAGAGAGTTCATTTTCGATTTTGAATATCACTTCAGTCGTGACCATCAATCAGGTAAGATCAAGTGTTAATTCTATCTCCGTTTTATGTGCTTTCTATTGATTCAATTCATTTACAAATTACACAGTGCAAAATACATATTTGTGATTTTATCAGTGTTTTTGTAGTAAATTGTGCGTGTTTTTTTTTCTATTTCGTTGCAGTTCAACATGTCGACATCTGGTGAAACATCGGCTGCACAGGCGAAAAAGAAACGATATAAATATCAAACAAAAAAGCAACAAGAGGAGGAGGCCGAGGACGAAAACTTCAATGACAATGGCTTATTAGCGATAAAAATGCGCCTCACAACAATTGTTCGGCCGGAGTACCATGATGTTGTCATACCATGGATAGAAAAGAAAAGTATCATGTCAACAAAGATCAGCGTTTTGGCATCGTTGTTGTTTCTTGACAAAGTGAAGTCCGCGCAAAGCAATCGCCAATGGGACTTTTTCACGAATAAAATGTATGTTGTAAAAGGAAAATTGGTTGAAAAAAATCGTGCCGAAGATGTGATTGAGCGCTGCTTTTATGCAGTTTTGCATAAGAACAAAGAAAACGAGGACATGGAACCACATATTCGTCATTTTTTTGAGCAAGGACTGAGCCGAGACAATCAATTTGCCTGGCCAAACAATAATTATTTCAGCAACATCATGAAATCATTATACCAAAGTTATACGCGCAAATTGAAAACGAATCAAACGACACATGCAAAGAAGCGGCTGCGAAATTATTTGCGAATGAGAGCTTGGCAGTTTAATGCAGTGTCAACCGGTTTGAAGTTCGATAAAAAAGATGTTGACAATGCAATTGATTGGGCGATTCGACGCTATGATGCCATTCATGAGTTTCACAATTGGGCGCAAGACAACAACGTCACAATACCGAAGATCAAAAATCTATCTGTTGTTCCATTGCCAGATTATCAACGAAAGGCAGTGTTCATGTGCAATGATGTTTTTTACAGAATGTTGGCAGAAGAGAAACTCCTTCCAAAAGTCGAAGGTAAACAAGTTACCGAAAATTTCATTCGCGAAAACAAAGAACACTTCTGGAACCAAATATTCGATTTTGACAAAATCAATCGAATATTGAAGAAAAAGAAAGAGTTTCATTTTACTATTGTCAGCAACGGTGAATCAGTATCGGTATTGTATAAATTGTCAAAACACCATCTTCAACGGTTGCTGGATGATGATATTGTGAGGAAGCGATACTTAGATGGAACGTTTGTTTATGAACTGGGAATCGATCCGGGTATGAAGACATGGAATGCGACAGTCAATACTCGCAAAGAAGTAACTATTTAATTTTTCTTTAGCATTGTTAAAAAATCGAGAGTTATATGTTACTTGAATGAAGCAAACAAACAAAATTTTCAATTGATTTTTTTTTTTTTTAATTTTAATTTCAGGTCAACTTGAAAATATCTAGTAAAAAGTACCATTGGCTCACGAAATATAAAATGCGCGACAAAAAGGCCAAGCGCTGGACGAAGCAGTTCACTTGGGATGAGCAAAATGATCGAAACAATCGACAGCTGTACCAGCGAATGCCATCACCGCTTGGTACACTTTGGACTGATTACATTCGCCATCGGATAAAAATGCTCAAGAAAGGAATGGACAAAATATGCGCGCTTGAAGTTTGACAAGTATGTTGAGTCCAATAGTACTATAGATAATCTTTGCGGCACTTTGGTTAATCATCAAGCAGCTTTGATTCATTTGGGCAACGCCGACATGTCACCAAATTTGCCAATACGCATTAAGAAGAATTTTGTGTTAGACTTTCAATTACACAATTGCATTGCTATACATAATAAAGTGAGGTTATATTATTCATATTATTTTTTGACTATCATTTTGATTCAACTATTCGCGAATATTTTGAACACCAATCCCACAAAATGTAAAAAAACTTGAATAAAATATATTTATATTGCAAAAAATATAAAATATTTTGATAAAATATATCGTATTCTTCTAGTTGTTGAGAAAAAAAGACAGAAAATTTTAATAACATAATCTAGTACTTAATCAACATGACAAGTCGGTATAGCAGGTTAAGTTGGCATTGAAATATCCATCAAAAATCGACAAATATTGCTCTAAACTGTTTTTATTGAAAATATCGTTTGAAATCTTACTTATTCGATAATTTCGATCTTGTCTTGAAATATTCATGCTTGAGAAAAGTGAGAGACTCCCCTAGGGCGGACGATTCGATCCAAACACCAAAAGCAAACGTTTCAAAGTTTGTAAAAATTGTGCACCGGTGCCAAATTCAATCATGGCTAACTTTTTACCATCGGAAATCGTGGAACAGCTCAGCAAACGGCGTTTAAAGTATAACAAAGTTTATATTGAAGAGAGTTTGGCGCTATTTCTGGCACGAGGTGAAATGACTGAGCATAATTCCGACATTTTAGCTGATCGTTTACTGTCTAAGGTGGCCGTGTATCCAAAAAAATGGCAAGTAAACGCAGTGAGTGGTGTATTGGAATATGCTGACGTCAATGTTGATGATGAAAATGCAGCGGGAATCGATGGAGTGGTCGCTCAACAACCAATGATTGTGCATCAGACAACTTGGGATCGTGATATCGTGGCCGCCAAATGCATTCTCATCAAAGGTATGTATATAAGAAATGGATATTTGCATATTATAGATGTGTTATGTCTGTGTTTAATGACATTTGTATTTTTTTATAGGACATTGTAACCTGTTTGGACTGGATGTCCCGCTAACATTGCAGAGACCACGTCGACAACAAGCAGTTCAAAATAATCAACAGCCTTAAGCATAACCAAACACCATTTTAACTCGAAAATTAATTAAAAATTAATATTGTAATTTTGTTATACTAACTGAGACTTGACTGTTGTGTCTCAGCATTTCGAGAAAGTTCATTATTCGATTGCATTTATATATTCAGACGTGACAATTGTTTTTCGCTTCGGGAAGTGCTACCATCAATCCATGGGGCGAATCACGCTAGTGAATACTAGAAAAACTAGTAAATCTAGTGCGTAGAATGACGTCACAAACGAAGCCAACTTCAACCAAAGGCCATATAATTTATATGAAAAACTACTGAGAGCCAACTTCACGCACTAGAATTTTCTAGTTTTCTAGTGAAATCTTATCAAAAACTAGAATTTCGTGATTGACCCCATGCATCAATCGCTTCGTTGTATAAATGCCATAGAATTTTGCCTACTTTGAATTAATAAATACCATTTTTCTATTTAGAGATATGGGAATACCATTTTTTTATTTACCATGGAAATGATTGAGACAATGTAATTTATCCAATGTGCATACGTTCGTTGAGTTAGTTAATAACGGCTTCAAATCAAGATAAAAGAATGGAATGCATCCGCATAACGCAATAATACTCTGAATGGCAAAAAAAAAATGAATAAAAATCATTCTTTAAAATCATCAAAAAAAAATCTTTGAATCATTTACATCCAAACGGCATGATCGTATGCAATTGCTTCGAAAATAAGGGTCCGATTGAATTTGTGCGATGTCGCTACTAAACATACACCGTCTCTGTATAAAGAAAAATGCATAAAAGAGAAAGAGAGTAAAACAAACGCACACTTTTCCAACAGAGGTGCAAGTAATTTCATTTTATTAGCACTTTTTCCATTGAATATCGGCGAATGGCATCGTCAGATGTAATTACATTTGCACCAATTTTCACTAAAGTTTCTGAACCAGACGAGATAAGAGCTTCGCTTGCAAATTGGTCGGGTACTTCATTTGGATTATAAACCTGAAGCTGATTGCAAATATAAAAATCAAACGAATGAATAAATAACGAACCGAATCGAATAAAAAACAAAAAACATTTACTTGAACGCCAATGTACGGTAACAATGGATAGAAGTAGTCATCTGCCGATATATTTAAATACAGAATAAGACCCGACACCGGTCCATAATTTGATATTGATATCGCATTTTCTGAACTTATTTATTTAGAAATGATATACATATAAATAGTTAATGATTTGTCGATAAATCGCAGGTTAACAAAGAGTTTTATGGTATAGTAAGTAAACTTATCATAAATTGTCTTCGAGTTGAATACACAACAATGACCTGATGCAGTTGCAGACATATGAAACATTTTTAGTTCGTCCGTACAGTTCACAATTTTTCCTTTCCACACACAACGCACGATCAGCTCGTCACACTGCGGTGACAACTGGATATGATCATAAATTAAATAAATCGATCATATTTAAAAAAAAAAACCAAATTAAACATTTTCCCAACATGAACTGATTTGAATGCGATTTTTTAATGGATTTAAAAAAACGGCTTGAGAAAAAATAAACAGAAATGTTAACATAAAACTTTTCATGTGGTTTGACATCATTGTCTTTTATGTTCATAAATATGAGGAAAAAAAGAAAAACACTCATTGCTAGAGCACTAGTGTCAGCTGACACCATAAAACACACTGAAACACATAAAAACATGTTGACACTCACCGTTTCCAATTTTGATGCTACATCAAAATGTTCCTCCAATTGATCCAAAATACGTTGAAAACCCAACAAATCGAACGATTCGGATTGCTCAAAGTCATAAAGTTTTCCTAAATGCCGTATTCCTTTTAGGAAAAAAGCTTCATCACGTCCTTCTGAATCCATATTTGCTCTAAAAGCAAATGATATATCGCCCAAATAACAACGGAACATTATTTATGATCAACAAGAGTAAAAAAAGTAAGTGATCGATGTTGTCATAACAAATTACGAGGGCATAAAATAGAAGAAAACAAAAGTTCAACAACATCAATGACAGTATATTAACTTATATACAACGAAAATTTGCTTGAAATTTAACTTACAAGTGTTTGGCGTAAGCCTTGGCTCGACTCTTCGAAATAACATTGTTAGGACAAATGCTTATCCCTTTGTGAATGAAATAACAAGTTAATAACTACCTCTGATACACGAACATAAAGTACATGTGCATGCAATACATGAGCATTGTCAAGACCATTAACATTTGACGTATGTATCAGTGCACCCAAAAGCCATTTTTTTTCTCGCTTTCTCCCTCTTTTTACATTTTTACCATCCTTAAAATATACTTGTACATACCTGGAAACCCAATTTGCGATATCGGATAAGCTGTGTCGTATAATGTAGTGACAAATGGATTAGTCATGTGATGCTCCAATGTCCAATTGAGAATGGATATAATTGAAACTGCGCCAGTTACATGTACAATTATCCATAAAAATCTAAAGTGTGTGAACAAGTGCTTTTTCACAAAAATGCAGATGAGATAAAAATTATTATGTATACGACTCGTTACCTTTCATATTTGGTTCGTTTCGGTTCGACCAACCAATGGTAGCAATGGATAGCAATGTTTGTGATGAAGTTAACGAAATTCTGATAAAAATTGTTCTGTTGTTTGAGCTTTTGCATTTCACTTTTTGTCGATGACCAAGTGGGCTTTATATGTAAATTTATTTTCATGTTTTAAATCGCCGACTATTTTTGTAGACTCTTCAATATTCTCTTTAACTTTATAACAAAAAAACACCAAATACTGCACAAATAAATAAAAACCGTCAACACAACATAAGTGGTACATATGGAATAAAGAGCAGAAATATTTTTTTGTTATTTTTTTCAATACACCGCCATACTCGCTAAAACTTCCATGTTTAATGTTAAAATATTCAGTTAAACCAATTGTGGAATTTATGGATCCGCATCAGTATAATTGCATTTTGGATGGTGTTCGGGTGAAATTAATATGTTTTTTCATGTACACCTAATAAAACAAAATCGTTTCCATTATATATGCTGGATTTAATGAATACACACATTCTTGACAATATCATCATTGACTTTTATGTTATGATTTCGAATTCCATTAGGAAGATTATTATCTTCAAAATTTGGGTTAATGAATAACATTTGCGCTACACGAACTCAATGAATGTTCTCAAAAACCCTAAAAAAGGAAGAGCAAAAATAGGTCATCAAAAAACCCTAGGGTCTAAAGCTTGGTAAACCGAAAGATTTGAAAAATTTAGATGGCAGTGTGATAACGGAGTAAAAACGGAACTGAATCGCAGAAATCGTCGGAATCAAATTTTGGTGTCTACCCACAATCCATGCTGGGAAAACTTGTTTGAAAAAGTTTTTTTTTTTTTTCAAGTAGAAATTGTGTCCTCTTTATCAGAAATATTATCAAGAAAAAGCAGAACGGTAAATAAGTGCACTCGATGCTAAAGAGCTCTCTTTTTAAAGTCCCTTTAGTTCAGAAATGATTTTAGTTTGTTCGGAGCAACATTTGAAGAGAACATGTTCGCTATATTACACAATTGTTGTGTAATGATGATGATGAAAAAAGTTTACAAGGAAAATCAAATATACCTCTTTAATATAAAAGAGTTTTCCAGACTTATTATCAGATGGGCCATTTTGTTCGCATTCCCAATCATATTATTTGCATACTTATGAGCTGACCACATAACATCGATTTATATTGGTCTCAGACATTTTCAATATCATATACAAAACTTACTAGAAACTCAGATCATCAATTTTACCGAAACGCAACAAAAACGAAATTCATAAAAATGCCGGAAAATATGCAATATTCCATGAAATCGGCATAGCGTTATCTGTACTTTTAACCGTTGAACGGGGTCTCATTCGATAAAATTGGGCACATCCAAAATCTGCATTATGTGTATGGAAATATCAAATAAAAAACTCTGACGAGGTGAAGAGCGAGTGACGAAACCAAAATGTGAAACACAAAATTTCTGATATCAATTTTGTGACGAAAATAAATGATAGATAATTTTTCTGTGTACTTTGAATAAAAACTTAATATACATTTGTATATTCGGAACGTTGCATTGCGTCATCAACCATACTGACAGCAAAAGAGAGGGATTAATGCAACGTTTTGAATGTTCAAATGTATATTAAGTTTTTATTCAAAGTACACAGAAAAATTATCTATCATTTATTTTCGTCACAAAATTGATATCAGAAATTTTGTGTTTCACATTTTGGTTTCGTCACTCGCTCTTCACCTCGTCAGAGGTTTTTTATTTGATATCAGTAATTTTGTGAGAGTAATTTTCCAAATTAAAGATTCAAAACATCTCCACAAATGAATTTTAATAATTTTGAAATACAATTAAAATATAGACTTTGGACGGCCAATTTTCAGTGGTGTGTGGTATACACTTTTTCATCTTTGACTTGGGGCATAAATCGATGAAATTTTCAAAAGAAACTATGGAGTCTTTTTCGAGAAAATATCCGTTATGTGTTCGGCCAGACGGTCGAGTTTTGATTTTTGGCCGATTTGGCCACCTGAACTTGAAATTTTTAAGTCTCAATTGGCACCATTCGATAGCTTACTTTAAGACCTTTCCAACGAATATGCATATGCCCCGGGTATGTTTGAAAAAATGGCAATAGGTAACTTTTTGGTTTTTGGCCGATTAGTTTCATCGAAGTAAACGCATCACAGTGAAAAAAGAGATACATGTGTAGTACATATGTACGTTGCCGCATGCCTTCAACGAGTTATGTTTTGTTGCGTGCATATGAGTCTGTGTATACGCTAACGAATATGATTGCTAAGTGTATCGTCATATACGTTCGATGAAACTAACACCAAAAATAGAGTTAAATAGAGTGCGTAACTCATTTTGAGGGGTAAAGCCTCTACTAACACCGCAAAAGCGAGTAAGCGTACTCGAATACTTGTTTCTGTGTAATGTGGTTTCGTCACTCGCGCGTACAGCCGTCCGCTGTAATATTTTATACCATGTTGTACATATGAATTTATGAGAATAATAGAGTGATATTGAAAATAATACATTCAAATATGGTAACTAGAAGTTAAAGTGCATTTGGCGGTTGATTCTTTTTAAGGTAAAAAAACTATATTTTTTTATAATTTAAATTTTTAAACAACCACTGTATATGGGGCGGTTATTAGTGCTCACTACAGAAATGCGAAATAATAAAATAAATAATTATTCTATATATTTTTTAAGTGCTGAGTCAGCACTGCTGATCCTTATTCTAGAAAGAGCAGTACTTACACGAAAAATATCCGCACCTCCGCATCAAAAAAATATCATTAATGAATCCACTCTATCATTTTAACCAATTCATATTGTGCGTAACATTTGGTTTTGTATGCACCCGAAGAAAATTCAGCAAGTTACAAAGTTTTCACACTAAAATTGTATGTAAAGTTAAATTTGACATGGAGTTTTATGATTACATTAAATTACAATGTTACCTTTCTCCATCGTTTACCATTTTACCTTACCATCTTTCAGATAATTCAACCTCGAAAGAAATATAGTCTTTTTGTTGCCACTAAAAATTTTAAGGAAATTTACCGAGTTTTTTGTTCGAGTTGCACAGTTGCATGGCCCAATAGTTTGTATGATGTACAGTAGTTTTTGTTTACAATGCTTTGTAATACAGTGTGTGAAAGTTGGCCATTTCAAGCATTCTCAAGCAAAGCATTCGTGTGAACAACAACATTGTATTGTGATTTACAATTCAGGTAAGGATAAGACAAATTCGACAAATGCCATGAAAGAAAATCAAGATACAGTTTCTATTATTTTCCATTGTCACATTTCAGATTTAATAATCTTGTAAAATTACATACAAACAAGTACAAATATGTTAAAGCTTATCTACTAAATGACGATGTACGCCTATTTGTATATTAATAAGCAACTCATTTCACCGAACATTTTCGGTTTTTTCTTATCGGTTATCAAGTTATTCTTTGTTAATTAAGCCATGTTGAGCTAGTTGAATTTAATGAAAAATTTAATTGAAAAATGATTTTAATTTAATGCCATTAAAATATGTCTCCTTATTTTGACGAAAAAAAGATGTCTAATGATTTTTCAATTGGTATTAAAATATTTCGTTGAAACATCCTCATCGTTTTACACTCATTTCTTATTTATCGAAACCGATTATTTTCAGTTAATTCTATATAATATGTATGACAAAATCTTAGAACATGCTAAATACGAAGCGGAAAACTAAACACTGAATCGTATTCTAATTAAACAACGAAATTGCTAATCTCTAAAATATATTCGTACCGAAATCAAACAATATTGTTGATATCAATATGTAATACTCTGAGAAAACTCAGATGTTAAAATTCAAAGTAATAAGCGAAAAATGCCATTTTAACATGGAGAGGTTTTTAAACATGGTAAAATCTTATTTTACCCGCAACACATTTCTTTGTGGGTAAAACCGCATTTTAACATGTGAAAAAATCTCTCCATGTTAAAATGACGACTAAATGCCATTTTAACATGGAGAAATTTTGTCACATGTTAAAATGCCGTTTTACCCGCAAAGAAGTGTGTTGCGGGTAAAATGAGATTTTACCATGTTCAAAAATCTCTCCATGTTAAAATGGCATTTAGTCGTCATTTTAACATGGAGAGATTTTTTCACATGTTAAAATGCGGTTTTACCCACAAAGAAATGTGTTACGGGTAAAATAAGATTTTACCATGTTTAAAAACCTCTCCATGTTAAAATGGCATTTTTCTCTTATTACTTTGAATTTTAACATCTGAGTTTTCTCAGAGTAGAAAAGAGCATATTATGTGCGTCGTGATATTGATCACTGCTATGAGATTTTGTTGCTTCTTGCGCAAATAAAGTATTTTTTATTATCGTGTATGCTACGTCATTATCTGGCATTGATTCTTTAAACGTATTCTTAATAAGAATTTCCAATGGACTTATGGATGAACTTATATTGAAATTAAATTGCACAATTTGTGAAATTGACACTAATCCAACACGACAATTGGATGTGAGATGAAAAACGCATAATATATAAACTGCCACCAGATAGTTTGTGTACGATACAAAAAACAAAATTGAATTTTCTGTATGAAAAAAATAGACTTTTCTTAGTATTTGGGCTTTTCAACCAATAAAAGTATTTGATGGAATATTTTTTTGGAGTTGATGTCTTCATATGAAATGTATTCCATAATTGAATAGACCAATCATCGAAAATGACAAAATCTTCATGGTACGCAATACCTGTCTAAAACGGTAATTTTTATGAAAATCTTAAATCGTACCCATTTCTGGCGGCAGTGTATATCCAACTGATAGTTAATTTATACAGTTGTCAATGTGAATATAAATTTTTTGTTTCACCACGTCGATAAAATCATATTTTAATATCCACAGGATTGATTTAGCCAATTGGCATCATTTCAGCGATATTTTAAAATTAGCAACAAAATAAGCTTTTCAAGTGGCATTTCATGTAGTTCTTTCTAATTCTCTGAAAATGTGCCCTCTATGTTGCTTTTCAGAACGTAAAAAAATCTGCAATTTCAAAAAGAAATTCCTAACTCTATCTGACAACGTTTCCCTTTTCGCAAGTTTTCAGTCGAAACAGTCGGATATTGTAAATTATACTAACACAAATCAGATATCATTTTCAAGTACAAGAGTAAGTCGTTTCTATTTATAATAATCCGAAATAATCGTTAATTACTTATTATCATCGCATTGAATATGCTACAGTTGATTCACAAGCAAAGAAAAAAAAATTACAATAAAATGTATAGGTCAGGTTTTATTTTCCCGGAATCTTCGTCCAAATGACTTTGAGAAAATAGGGTTTGTTTTATTTCATCGCAGTGTGTTCTCACCTAGACTAATTTTTAAAAAGAAATAAATTGAATTGTTTCTGTAAACCAGAAAAAATTTGCATATTAAGAATGCATAAAAAAATCCGAGTCAACAATTCAATCAACATTTCTCTCTTTTATACCGTTAGATTGTTATATATATCTTATAAATAATTGAAATTATTTTTTTTTGTATAAAATTGAGCCGATTCTTCCGCAAAGAATTATAGCTCAGTGCTCATTTCGTCAACTATTGTGCGCTGTAATGAAAGATATGAAAACAAAAAAATAGAAAAAATTAAACATACAGAATAACCATTGTGTGGCAAAAATGTCGATTTATCTTTCATATAAGAAATTTTAATAATTTGGTTTCATTTAAATAAATTTGTGCAAATGTTTTTATAATAATATTTAAACGTTATAAGTATATGTGCATTACATGATGTCTAAAATACTCTATTTCGAAATCGTTCTTCATGTACACAATACATTTATCGATACAATAAGCGTTGTATACAATTAAAAAACTAATTTAAACAGTTTGTGCTCCGATTGAAGAAATTTTCAACGACATTACAGAGGAATTTATGTGCAAATCACATCATTAGTTGATACATTTAACACACTCTTCAAAGATTTTTCTCACCTTATCTCGGGATGCAAGTCAGTAGGGTGTTAGCTCAATGGCAATATTGAAGTGTAAATTGAATATCATGCAGACGATTTATAACGAAACAAATTTATACCGATTATATTCACTTTATTCGATGTTTCATTTTGTTTGTAACATTATTAGCATTCGAATCGACTGAAATAAGTCATATTTGCTGATAGGCATATGAGTGTACTTTTTATTCTCTGCCAAGAGTGAATATGGAAATGGGAGAATACAATACTAAAGCACTGTGAGTTTATACAGTACTATTTATGATATATTGCCTGAAGTTAACGTCTTTCGTTATAAATTTTATGCTGTTCGACCCTTACACCAAAATATGGTTGTTATGTTTGGGGGATGCAAAAATATCTACACGTACTCATTTATTTCATAGTTTTCCGGATATCGGCATATGTGTGGTTGTGCCCCCGTTTACCACAAAAAAATGCACACGACATTTTGTAGCCAAAGCAAAAATACGATAAATCAATAAGTTAGTGATGTACTAAGAGCTGTTTGCTTCATTTTGTTATAACACAATTGGCATTTAAATGGTTGTGGTGAGGCTTATGATGAAATTATCGCACCAAAAACGGGCTATAAAAGGACTACTTGTTTGAACTGTTCATCGTTTTTCAAGATAAATTTCAATTTTTATGGTTATGAGGGTCCATTTTTACTACTATTACTAACCAAATACAAAATTCTCTGGATACTCTTTGTATCACATTCACAATTTTACTTTGTTTTTGGACCTAAAACTTTCAATGGGGAAACTGAATTTTCATGCAACACGCTTAATAGCGTCATGATATGCTTTCATCATATTTCTCTATTGAATCGTCAACGATCTGCAAACTCGTCCTTTGGAAAATAAAATATTGAGCTTAAAATACTGAATATGAATCGAAATTATCAATGCGGAGCGAAAATGATTTTCTTTTCTCAACGCGATGCGAAATGGTATAATTCATTTTTTCATATTGATGATTGTGGCAAGGCTGTGAATAGGCAATTAAATGATACGATGAATATATTCATCGATTCAAGGGTTTTCTCATTTGCATGCTGTTGTTTTGTCACAGCGATTCACGTCGATTTATTTTACGATCTTAAGACGATTATTGTTTGTTTTTGCACTATGAAAACGAACGATAAAATCCAATTTTGTTTGCCATCAAATAGTTGTAATAGGCATGTTGATGACACAAACACGCAATGGGCAATTTCTTCATTTCAAGTCCGCATGAATTCACCGATTAATAAATGTCTTTCACACTGAACATCGCTACAGTAGCAATAATTGGCTGTAAAAAAGCAGCCGAATGTTCTGTGTCAATAAACCATAAATAATATGTTTTTTGGGTGTTACTCAAAATATTTTATGCACAAAGGCACCGGTGTGTGTATATATGTATGTACTCTCATCATATGCACTCGCACTTCACTGTTTGCCAAGAAATATTGTGAATTGAATGTAATAATGCGACAATATTTTGGAAGCTGCATACACACAATGACTACACAACATAAAATGAGATCCATAACAAACATATGAATAACATATATTGCCCACATAAATATGAAGACGAACGGAGAAGCAAATGTTATTAATATAATAACAAGTATTGAATAATGTACGCAATGTGCTGTACATTCTGTTTTTGTCACTCATTTTTCATTTCATTGTTATTTTATAGATGAAAGGGTATTCAAAACGATTCATTCAGTTGCATACGGACGTTGGACTAGCAATCTCTCAAATAAATTTTCAACTTCAACTTTGAGATTTAAGATTCAGAATTTAAAATTGGATTTTTTTTCTTCTTTTTCTGCTGTTTGTCAGAAGCTATACGACTGTCATGCACATTATGTTACAATTTTTCGAACATTTTGTTAAGCACATGTACGATGAAGAAGTCGATAGTATCGTATTAGTACACATAATTTTTGTTTCCTTTTTCTTTCCCTCTAGAGAATTTTATTTATGTTTGCCATTTTTGACTCACACTCTTCGTGATATTTGCAAGAAAATTGCGTTGTTGCTGACATTCGCCAATAAAATAATGGATGGAAAATGTGAAACGTTTGCAGAAACAAAAGAGAATCAACGGCACCGTCAGTATCTTGATTGTGTATTTCTTTTGCCAGGCCTACACAATATTCACATCAGAATCACAACCACCGGACGAATGTGTTATTTGATGCCTGTTCTTTGTTATTCTCCTTCACATTTTCCATCATCCTTTCTCATATCACTTTCTCTTTCAATCTTTCTTCTTCTTTTTTCATCAAGTTCAACATTGTTTATATTTGTTCTTTCGCTCATTCTGTCTAAAGTTTATACTCTAAAATCAATGGTAAATTCATGTATTAATTTTTTTACATGTATTAACCAAAATGATGTGAATCAGCAATGAGCAGATGGTTTTTGTAAGTGAGCAAGTTTAAAGTAAACAAAAAACGAGACGATTCATAATTTGTTATGTCTTCATAACAAATATATTGTTGTGTCCATTTTTCTAATAGAATTTGATTTTCTTGTTCTATTTGCTATTTCTATATGAAAAACAAAAAAATGCGAAATATTCGCTTTTTAACTTGCATATATACGTTATAATTTCTCATATAGAATACAGTTTTTTATTATTATTATTTTTTCGCTTGAATATTCGTTGTGTATTTATTTGATGACATCATCCATCAGCCCATCGTGTGCACTTTTTCCCATAATTTTATTCAAAACATTTGTACTTGTTCTCTGTTCCACTTTCTCATTTCAATGTTTTCTCCATTCCATTCAATATCATTTACATAATTTCATACGCTTATGCAAATAATGTGTATTTCATTGTATTTAATATCACTTTCAGGATTTATTGAATAAATTTATGGTGTACGGCTTTTTGGTCTGACAATAACATCTCTCTTCCTAGTGAAAATATTTGGTTCAATCTTTAAAATTGAAGCGGATTACTGTCACAATTCCAGCCATATTGAACATTTCAAACAAAAATGTTGAAACCAAATGAAGTTTATTAATAAAAGTGTGTACAAAGTGCAAATGGTTGAGGTGTATCGAGCGATTTTAAAAAATAAGATTTGCAAATATCGTCGAAATAATGTTGCCAATCAATGCAAGACGAGCACAAATTGTTCAATATTATCAACGAGATGATTCAAGGTGGCTGAGTTCTTTGGTTCATGTTGATTTTGATTAATTTCAAGTGATTTTCGAAATGAATCACATCCAAAAAATATTTATACGCATACGAACATTTTGATTACTGTTTTTTTTAGCATTATCGTTATTGTTTATACTGTAAATATTTAATTTAACTCTGTACATTACATATTGGTTGGATACTACATGAAATATATTGATTGGGTATTATACAAAATGTTGATGATGGTGATGATGATGATGATTACTACAATTAGATCATATTTACAATAAATTGCATCAAATGATGTGTGTGTTGTTGAGTGAGGGGGTGGGAGGGTTGTACGTTGAACATGTTGCCAAACTTACCGTCTAATACTTTGAATTATTGGTGTTAGTATTAACTCTAAACTGTTTGATCTTTGTGAGGACCTAATATTTGAATGGGACTTCTCTGCTACTGATACATCTCGCATATCCGCAATGTTACTGGGGTTCTAATGAATACAATGCATTTTTTTCAAACTCAATGAAAAATTCATTCTTCGATTTATGTTTTGGTTTGTAAAAATAAAAAGTTTAAATTCATCGAGGAAATTTTTTTTTGTTTGGGTGAAAAAAAAAACAATAGAAGAAAACAAAAACAAGAAGAAAACAACAAATAGGTGTCAATAAACTCAAAATGCAAATTTCCCGATGTGTAGTGTAAATTACAGTAATATTACACGGTTGTAACACACTTTGCTTGATATATGTAAATAGAATTGATGGAAAACATTAAAACAGAATTGAATGATTCCACATGCAATAACAAAAAAAAAACATATACACAATAGAGTGAATAAATTAAGAAAAAAAGAAGAATACAAACATATAGATTGAACGAAGTATAGAAAAATATAACAACAACAAAAATCACGTTTTTATATTGTGCGATTCAAACGTCATTTAAATGATTTTCATGCATTTCACATCAAGAAAAAACAAGAGAAATCAATTTCAGTCAATGTGAAGGTTTTGTGGTCGTACTCAATGAATCATTGAATCCGTAACTAATCTGCATGTCATGCATGTAAAAAGTGAATTTTAGTTATCTCTACCCACAAATATTACAGTATTAAAGTACAAAATGATTAAATGCCATCACCAAAAAGCTAATTAATATAGTGAAAGCAATAATTAACCGTGTTTTTAATTAACCTATTAGAATTTAAAAAAGAGAAAAAAAAACACTTCTCACCAACGGGTGTCATAATACTTAATTATTCGTTGATTTTCTCGGAAAATTCAAATTTAAAAAGTCATTATTTCAAAAACTTACATCACATTTAAAAGCATATGGTAAAAGTTCTACCGTGTCATTTTTGTTGATAAATTTCAAATGAAATGTTCCAATAAAATGTATTTTAATTGAATATGTGTGGAATGAGTTGCCGAAGGCGTTTGACTCGAAAATATGAGCGGCAACAACAACAAACGAAGTGAACGAAAAAAAAATTGGGAAAAATCCCGTAAACGACAGTCAAGCACTTCCTCATATTTAAGCCAAAATGAAGCTTTGAATTGGATGAAATGAACACGTTCGACGAAATTTCATTTTCAAATGGTGAAACGAATTTTAATTAGCATCATAAAGTCTCGTAATTTTGTAATTAAATGCTGAGAAGATGTCCTCTGAACATGGCGTATTTTGAAAGGGATAACATCATTTCCAAAGAATTGCCTATTTTAATTGCTATTATTGTGTACGGTTCCCGCATTTTGTCGCATCAACGAACGCGTCGTTACACATGCATCCCCCGAGGAAAAACGCGACAAAACGCCAGCGTCTCTTTCCCCTCCTCTCTCTCTCTTATTTTCTCGTGCAATTTTTAACATCCAAACAAACCGACCGAAATGAATGCTCCCCTTTCGCTTTATCACTTTATCACAATATAATTCAACTATAAATAGATATGGCAAAATTTTGCCAATTCGGCGAAATGTATAATCTGAGATTGTTTCATACACTTGCTATGTACGTTATTATGGGTTTAAATAAATCCATTTTATTTGATTGTTATTTAATAACATCAGCAGCTATATTTACCAGCTGGGGTCAAAAATGCACAAATGCGAAAAATGAAAACGCAGACCACTAGATTTCTATTTATGTTTAGACGATACGAATGCGTAAAAAAGCGTTGATTACTTTCTTTTCTTGCAATTTGAACTATTTATGTTCCATTTTTGTTCATGTTCTAATGATTTTAACTTAAAGTTCTAGAAGTTGTTAATAGATGAAATGTTTTCGTCGTGTAAAATTAATTCCGTAATGAAGGTCAAAATGAAAACAAAGCAAACCATTCGCCATAGTTCGTATTCACTTCAGATTGTTATATAAATGATGTATCAATAGAATAGCATACGCCTAATGCTCTGGCTGATTTCAGTGTGAAGAAATTAATGTGCACTCCAACGAACTCATGATAACAATGAAGAAAATATGAAGAAGGCGGAAAAAAAGAAACGACTAAAAGAGCCAAAGTCTGAGAGTGAACAGACAAAAGTTAAGTGAAACGAATAGCAAGATTGACTTCATATTTTTCTTCATCAAATAAACGAAGTATTCAACTTTCCTGATCCCATTTATTTAAATGTACACTTTCGGAACATTTCAACATAATGGAGATATTTCTTGTATGAACTCAAACAAAAGAAGTTTTCCAAGCAGCAAAACATAAAAAAGCGAATAAAAACGGCTTGTCAATGAGAAAAAGCACTCTCGCAGGAGCTACTGAACTAAAGACAATAAAATAGACAACGCACATTGATACAAACAAAGAGAGAGAGAGAGAGAGAGAGAGAGAGAGAGAGAGAGAGAGAGAGAGATAAGAACATTTGCGACAAAACAGACAAAACTTTTCGTTTCGCCATTCAATTCGTTTAGTTTTGATATTTTTGTTGAAATAAGCGAAAAGCAACATAATAAAAACTATATTTATCTAATGGTTTGCTATTCCGATATGAATATCATTTGTTGTTGTTGTGTTTTGTCGATGATTTTGTTTGTCGTTACAATTGTTCCCATTCGGAATGAGACCGATTTTGTGCCAAACAAATATTAACTGTTATTAATTCCTGCAATAATGATCTTAATCAATTTGATGGTCCACTAATATCGCTTGATTTCACTCTCTTATTTGATTCATTTTAGCGAATCGAAAAGACCGATATCTATTGTTATGAAGTCAATTCTATTGGATATAAAAGTATGTAAGACAGAGCCTTTATTTTAACACATTTTGTACAGCTTTGAAAGTATCGCTGTGAAATCCCGAATTAATTTGGCAATTTTGAATGAAAATAGTTATTCGCCATAATACATTTTAATTTTTGTTTTGACAAATAAAAAGCAAGATTATTGTGATGTGATAAAGCATACATGTTCATTATTGTTGGTTTGGAAAAAAATGTTAATTTTGAAAATCGTAAACGTTTCCATTATCTGTTTTGATATTTATTGTTCGAAGGATAAAAATCGAGAGATTTTCATTTTTTTGTGTACGTATCATAAGTGGCTAAATGCGGAATGGACACTTTTCTATTTGAAACTATGTTTGATTCAACGGTGAAGTTTTGTGCTTCTTTCATATTTGTAATCAGTTTTGTATTGGAGCGATTCGGACTTAATGTTGAGATTTGGCAATACTTGAAAGTTTTAATAGCTGAGAAGATAAAGCTGTTTTTGCAGTTTGTAATGCAAAAAAGGTGATGTTTTGGGTGTGCCTTTAGGGAATTTCGTATGAGTGTTTATATTGTCTTTCGTAGTTTTTGCTGAGTTTCTATAGACGTTCGATGCTTCTTGTTTCCAATTATGTACAATATCATATTTTCCAAATATTCTTTTCATACGCAAAACATCGATGTTTTTTTTTTGTTATTCAAATAAAGAGAGGAAAAGAAAATGGTGAAAATGGCAATAATTTACCGAACAACCATTTTTCGATTGTTTTAAAATAAAATGAAGTTTAAATTTTGTAAACGATGGCAAACGTGGGTTTTCAGGTCGAAATTGAAGTGTATTTTATTCTTAAAACTGAAAATACATTTTGGTTTTTTGGATCATGAAAGTGAGTGGGTGGTATTTGGTCGCGTCCCTCAAGAATTTCCATCAATTTATAATTAATTATTGCGTAAATTGGTGTACTCTCTTGCTTTTATGTATCAGCATAATTTCAAATTGGACATGGAGAAACCCGTCAAAATACAAATAAATTTATAACTTTAAGCAGACATAATGTTTGAGCGACATGAGCAAGGAAAAAAGGTAATGAAACGAATTTATAGCCGTTTTTCGGCTGTTATCATAACATAAATGTGATAAAGCTTACGTTTGTTTCAACTTACAATAAGAGGGTTGGAGAAGTGATTACGAAAGCACGATACAAAAAGCGCGAACAAGTGGAAAGTATAATACGATATATACGGCATGCATTGTTCGTTAGGATTACACAATTCATAAAATTATCGTAAATCATGCACAACACTCCATTCCAATCTAGAAGTCAGGGTAGTAGTTTTTTTGGTAATTTATTTACTTACACTTTTAAACGAGTAATTTTGAATGCCGGTGTCGGTCATTATTTGATTGCTACTGTTGCTGGGCGATTTGGATTTGGGATCTATGTAAAGTAAGGGACCAACTACATTTGATGTTTTTCGATTCTCATATGAGTCAGATGCAGACGACGTACCAAAATTTTTCGCATCTACATTCGATGTGACATGAGGGCGATTTAAAAAGTTGATAATACGATTTCTTTGCTGTTCATTTATGGTGTGGGACGATTGGGTGGTAGTGATGGTGTTGGTGGTGTTGATTCGATCCGTTAGATCGTTTGTCTCTAATCTACGACTATTCGAATTTAAATTTGAATTTGTGCTTGTGTTCACATTTGAGTAAAAGTATTTGGCTCCAGTCTTATATGTTTTGGAGAAATCGGATGTTGTTACACCCGATATATGATAGGCAGACGAGTTTGTACAATCATTTGAATCACTATTATTATTCAAACTACAACGATCACTGGAATTGTGAGCACAATTTTTGGACGCGCTTGTATTACTACCGTTGTGGTTATTATTCAAATAAGATAGTAAGAAATCGGACTTGACGGATGTTAATTTATCTTTGTTACGATTATAGTGTATATTTGAACTACTATTCAGCAACGCTTTCGATGGACGACGAATTGGTACACCTATATCGGATTTTGTGCCACGCGATACTCTTGGACCATCACCATAAAGCGAAGCAGATGACAGTGGACCAGTTGATTCCAAATAACCACTGTCATCGTATCGATTTAGGCTAAATGTGTATTGATTATTGTGAAATATAGTATTATTGCTAAGACGATTGTTAGAGCTATGTACAGGTATGGATGTTGTGGTAGTAGTTCTGTGGTTGTGAATGTTATAGTGATGATTGGGGTGTAATGGAGGTTTTCCACTACTCACTGAATCATGAGCTCCGTATGTGCTTTGATTTTTCAAATGCTTGCCAGATGTCACCGATGCACCAGATGACTTGTTCGTACCATACTTTGTACTGTCACTCGATCTAAGATAAATAAATAAATCAATTTGGTCTGCATGTCAACCTTTAAAATCGAATATGATTTGAAAATAATTTGGTTTTAACTAAATAACTGGATATGAACAGAAAATTATATATAATTTGATTGGAGTACCTTTCAGAAGAGTAAGCATAATCTTGATCGGCTCCCAATCCCGAATCAGTGTGCTCATGTGAAACTCTTAATGCAGATCCTTCTAACGGACTGAGACTTGACCCCGAAGGAGACACAAAGTCTCCCATGCTTAAACTTGACATCATCCTAAAGCGTTATTTGTTGATTTTAGCATTGGAATTAATTTAAAAGAAGTTTATACATATTGACCATATCCCGAAGTAGATTATAAAAAAGTTTATAAAAATATTTTTAAGTTTAGGCATTTTTTTCTCAACTAAGTCTGTTTACTTCATAGCCCAATTTGCTCACGGTAAACATATCCCATAACTTGAGTACGATAACACCGTATAGGTGTTATTAGAGTTTCTACCTCTCACAACGAGTAGCTAACTCAATTTTTGCTTTTAATTTCGTCCGAGATATGGTTTTTTCACGATATTCTTTGCACGTTAACATAAATTTTCACTGAAAAATTAAATACCTGACCAAACTTGCATTCCTATCGCAATCTCTTGAGCTAATGGTGCTTGCTGATCGAATCGATCCATTCACAATTTGCTCCATTTTATTATTTTCTGGTAGATATATTCTGAAAACAACCATTGAAAATAAAGAATGTTTCAGTTTTGAAGCGAAATTCTGTCCATTGAATAATGAAAAAAATCATATTTTTTTAAAGCTGATATGAGGCATATTTTTAATGGTAAACAGAATGCTTGAAAAATAGCTATATACATCGATTTTTAACCTTATTGCATATAAAACAACATAACTCAATCATATTCACTATTCTAACGAATACCTTTTCATTTGTTTAAGATTTCCTTTTTAATATAACTCACCCTCGAATGCGATCCACCCTATCCTTTGCATGATTTTTATGCACTTTGACTGAACTATTATTTGAATTTCGTTGTTTTGCTGATTGAGTTTCTACAACCGTGTATGGAATTTCTCGAAGTTGATCCTCGGTCATGCCAGCAGTTTCAACCAAATCAAATTGAAGATGCTTCGCCAATTCACTTGACCAGATTCGTGTTCGTCCTTCAGATGGAGATCTTGAAGATGGTCTGTATTATGTGAAATTTATCATCAAAAATATTCCATTTCAAATGTTAACGTGATTAAGATTAAAACAAAAAACCCATATACCTGTTCTTTCGATGACGTCGACTTTTGTGACCGCTTCCATTATAGTCGTTTTCACTTTTAATACTAGAATTTAGACCCGAACCGTCATTTCGTCGCCGTTGTCCATCACGCCATTGTTGATTATTTGCATCGAGCAATTCTATTGAGCCGGTTGATTTTCTATGTCCGGAAAAACTGCGTCGGCTACCTTCATTTTCCGAACCAGATTCGTTGCGACGATGGCGTGAACGATGCCGACGCTTTCGATGTGAGTTATGTGAACGCGCTGATCCGCGAGATAACTCACTTTCATTATCTGATGTTCGTCTATTTCGATGACGTTGTCTAAGAATAATATGAACATATTCATATTTTAATTTTAAACAAATCGATGGGAAGGGAAAACTCGCGATTACTGATTACACAAAACCCCGATAATAAAAAAGAAAGGGCCCAACATACCTTTTGCATGCTTTTGAGTCATTCGATGAATGACTATCCACTGAACTGGAACGTATGCGATGCGTTGGGACATTGGAGCTCTTCCTAGATGATGCTGATCGAACTGATCTTGGACTAGAGTTAACACCAAATAATCCCTTCTGTTGAGATCGAGACCATGGTGCGCTTCTTGTGCTACGCGGTGAATCAGGTGCATTTCCATTACCATAGATTGTATACTTTCTAATAGACAAACTGTTTGGTATATTGCACGTTGATCGATATGGACTTTCGAAACTGAAAATGTATGTAGTGAATTAAAACAATTCGATTAATAATTAAAAGAAAAGTTTGCGAATAAAACCACGAACTATGAATGGTAAGTATAAATAGTTTTGAAAAACTGAAGAAAAAAAAACATCCACTGTACGTGTGTACGTTTGACAATGCAATTATTCTTATACATAGTTAAATCAAATGATAACGATTTAAATTAAAAATTTACGCTTGGGCTGGTTGTGGAATCGAAATAGACTTTATTTCCTGTTTGTTGGCAGTTCGTTTTTGTGTATTGTTTTTATTATCCAAAATCTCATCAATGCAGCGTCGTGGTTGTCGGCGTGATGGAGTCCGTTTGAACATTGGCGGTGGTCGTCCTCTTACCATTGCATCTCTCATTGCTTGTTTTTCGGTGCGACCACTGAAAATGTCATTTTCAATTTTAGCATTTTCTTGTTTTCTTTATCGCCTTTTAAATGATTCGTGTTCTTTTTTTTATTTCATTTGCATGTTTTTACGGAAATATGTTGTTTTTTTCCCAACGAATATGCATTTCGCTTGCTTCTTGTTCAAAAGAGCATTGAATGCCAGATAGTGAACGGAAATGTTCTCCAAATGAATTTTTGCAAATTGATTACGATTGACATACCTGTATCGAAAACGAGACCCAAGTGAGAATAATTCGCCGTCATGAGTTTGAATGGGTGACACACGAACTAATCGAAAAAAGGCGTGGTGTTCAACACAACAACGCCATAGATGTCTGCAGGCTGATTTACGTGGTGTTTCAAAGCCATATGTACTGATTTCATTCTGATTCATATGTGCAAAAGAAACAGAACAAAAATTAAAACAAACGTTTAAATAATTTTCATGGCGACGACAACAGCATGCCACTGGATAATCATGACTTAATCAACGGCTACCATAATAATAGATAGTTTAAGGGCAAAAAGGACTTTTTAAGTTAATTAGAAAGTCACGAGCAAAAACTTTAAATGAAACAAACGAAACAAAATAAAACAACAACGACAAAAATCACCTAGAGAAAAACGATTATTACATTACATAGCGTTGGCACATAAGCACATATAATCTCGTGCCAGCGCGCTTTAATGATTTGACTTATAGGAATTTATTTGCCTTTTAAAACTTACATTTTTGTCACAGACACGCAACATAAAGTAACGTCCTTTGAAGTGAACCTTTGTAATTCGTGGCCAGTAGTAATAAGCGACGGTAATTTTATCGCGTAGCACAACAATTCCGCTAGGTGTCAAGCCAAGAAAATATTCAACGCTGTCTTCTCCCTATGGAGAGAAAAGAAGAAAAAAAAAACAAAGAGAAACCATCACAAATGAGCGAACAAAAAAGAAACCGGGACGAAAACATACAAAGAAAATTAAATAAATGAATGAACACATGGTACGGACATCAAACGTTGCAAATAATTCAATTAAATAGGATGAAACAAAGAGCAAAAGAGAAGGCAGAGGAAAACAGTAATAACCGAAGTTAAGAAAAAAAGAACTACATCCGCACATCGTTCAGAATGAAAAAAAAAAATAAAATAAAAGAAAAGAAAAAGAAATACCAACGTTAAATATAATTGATTAACAATGTTGCATTTTAACTCAATCAAATTGTGCACGAATGACATAGAAAAAGTGCACCAAGTAAATGGGTAACAATCGATGAAAACGTTATGCTAAATGTCCGCTTATACATATAAATGATCGTGACATAATCAACGATAGCATGTCAAATCGAGAAATTGATTTTATTTGAAAGAGAAAAAAAAACACATTCGTGTTCAATTGGTTGGATTTTTAGAAAATGTCATAATGAAAACTTAGTCCATATGCATTTCCGGAAAAAGGAGAATACGCTATATTTTCCATGTTGGTTTTTCATTCAAAGTGAAATTGATATTGTGACTGTAATACATATAATATCTGACAGTATTCATTGTGTATGTATGTATGAAATGAGCTGAATAAATGAGGCAATACGTACCAACACTGGATGCAAGTCAACGCCATACATATCATTCCATTTTACTTTATCCAAATAATTTAGTTCAGCGGCTGCCGGTGACATTCCTCGTAGCTGTTGATGCAGCTCTGTAACTCGATTTTCCAGTTCTTTTGATTGATTGGCAACCAAGCGGAATTCTGAAACATATCCTGGCGAATGTCGGCGCGAATCATAATCACCCATTTCAGCTGTAAGAGAGAAGAAAAAAAATGAACCAAGAGAAGATGTTGAACATGAAACTAATTGAAACAAAATATAAACAAAATAAAAACAGAGACAACAGTATAGAATACGGTAGCAAAACATCGTAGGACATACGGTAGAATTGAAACCAAGCAAAAAACCGTATCGTCGAAAATGTGAGCTTGATTGTCATCTAACTGACATCTCGGATGTACCATTGATCGAAAGATTTTTAAAAATAATGCATTCCTCAACTTATGTATAGTTGTATACATATATTCGGGCCGGTGCAATCGCACATTCCTAGAACTTACGTCCCTCTCAACCACTCTATGAAATTTATTCATCAAAATTATCTAATAAAAACATTATGTCTTTGAGAATTCCATGTTTGGAATTGCACAGACTGTTTGCAATAGAATTTGTAAATATTTGCTTCGACCATTTGCAAAAACTAATACATCAATTGCAGTCGATACTCGACCTCTTTCTCTCTCTCTCTCTCTCTCTCTCTCTCTCTCCTTTTTTCACTTCTTCTCTGCTTGAATTCTCTGCATCATACAGAATCACCGAAGAACTGATTTCATCCAAGAGAGCAAAAACCGAAAGATAAATATGAAAATGAAATATCAATACATAATATTACAGATATTGCATTGGAATTTTATGAATAGAAACGAGACAATTGCATACGGGATAAATCAATATGAATGTTAATACTGTATAAAGAAGTGAAATATTTCGAATGTGTCGATTTTCACTTTGATTGAGAAAATGAATCCATTTAAATATCGAATGGCAACAGCTATATTGTTCATAATAAACGTTTAATCTCGTATCAATATGTCAAATATTTGTTTAATATCTGCTTTTGTATATTTTCCATTAATTGGACGAGAATTGAAATGTTCGTGCGGACTTCGAACACGTTATCATCGTTCTCAGTATACCCTAATGAATGTAATTTCAATAAAATGGTCCTAAGCATTGAAAGCAAATAGCCAACGGTATGGCTTCCAATGCGACAAAAATGATGCACAAAAGCTGCGATGATATATGCTGTTCAGTGAACAAAGCCAAATGGAATTCTTTGATTTTAATTTTTCAATAAATTTTTGTGCCACAATTCTGTTTATGATGAGAAATCACCATGTGTCGCTGTCCATTTTACTTTTCCGCACACACCTACGTGTGTAAGGTAAAGTATTGAAATCGGTCGAAGAATTAACACCCATCAAAAACGTGTTTTCTGAAACTTTGCATAGATTATTCTTTTCACAATAAAATAACATTCTGAGAGTTTTAAGAAATTTCAATGCATATTATGGGTACCTACCATACAAAAAAATTTCAAACTTTAGATTTTGTGAAAGGTCGGATTTTTGTGAAAAAAATAACCTCTGCAAAGTTTCAGATCGTTACGATATCATATAGGCATTGATTCCATACTAGAATTCCCATTTTTAGTCATTTTTGTATGAAAAGTCTTTCGAAAATTATTAGTATCAAAAAACCAATGTGAGATTCAGTTTTCTTGTGAATTCAAATTTACAGTAAAAGATATGTAATAAATGCATGTTGTGGATCACAGTGCGGAAAAGTTCATCTTACGGATGTAAGACATTTTATTTTTAACATAATTCTTACGTAAAAACATATTTACGTAACATGAACAAAAGGATCCAACCACACTGATATCTACCGAAATATATGCTACATTTCAAATGTTACATGCACCATGTTAAAATTGTCAACTGTCCACCAAACGGAATATTTAATTGAAACATATTGCTTTTGATTTAATTTTAATTAATACGTAATCAATGAACATGCTAATTGATTTTTTTTATTTATTTATTTAAAAATCAGTTTGCTATTCCAATTTAATAAATTAATCAAGCAAAAGAATTTCCCAACAAACAAAAATGTAATGTTTTTTTATTCATTTTAACGTTGAAAAATGTAATGTTTTGGCCCAGTTTAGTGGTAATTTTTGAAAGAAAATTGTATGCAAAAGAGTAATATATATCAATAGAATATTTCCATTTGTTTTATTGTGCACTTTTCATTTCACTAGAGAGCAAGAGACAGAGAGAAAGTGAATATGAAAACTTCGAGCCTTTGATTTACGAAAAATCGTCATAATCACTTTGTGTGTGAATAATTGGTTGGCGTTGTGGCTTTTTAGTCACATATTCGTTTGATGAAAAAAAGGCACTTTGAACGGATATAAAATTAAAATCAAATATTGAATAATTTATCGCGTCATGGGCTGAAATTATGCAAAAATGTTGATTTTATGTTGCCGTACATATTGTGCTAAAGTACTAGTAGTATTGTTGTTGCATGAAGCATGGCTATTTACTGATTGTTATAAAATTAATTAAAGCCTATTAATCCCCCGTGGTATAATTGCAATTTTCTTACAAGTTTTTACTCCTACATAATGTGTTGCAAAAACACTCAGTTTTCCTGCTTCTTAAATACTTGAATATTGCGCCATGGCAGAAACGATTAATCTGATCTTGGCATAATATGTATTGATCGCAAAATACAATATCAGTGCAACATTACACTGTTGTAGAATCGAGAAAGAAACAGAGTAGAAGATCCGCATAAATGGCTAGAATAACCACATCAGACGCAGAATGAATTATGATTATTAGCACTATGGTCAGATCTTAGTATTCATGCCGCTTAAGCATAGTAATTCTACAGCAGTCTTCTTTTCTTCTGAACTTATTCATTTATATGGTTTTGCATGAAACAACAAATTCGATTTCGTGTTCATAATGAAATGTGATAATTTGTGCGAAATAAACAAAACAACGACAACATATTCATGAACGAATAATCAATATGTTATTCTTTATCGTTGCTTAAATCGATTCTTCTATCTATTTTAAACAAACCATATGGGGGAATATATTTATTTTTCGCTAATTGCATGGATGTTTTCTAAGGCATAAAAATTCAATCACAAATCATGGTCAGGCCCATAAAAACAAGAATCACAAGATATACAATAGATTTTCAATGGGTTAGAACTACGTCAAAGGGGTGGTATAAGTTTGCTAAGGAAAAAAAAAAGAATTGAAAATCTATATGATTAGAATGAGTTTACATTGACCAGTTTGCATTGGTATCATAATTGGTTATAGTTGCATGCATGCATACGTTATTACCGGTACGCGATTTTTGTTTTCACTTCAAAACATCGGCGGACATTAGTTGAATCCCTTCTTTTAAGGCCATGTATAATCTTGAAATATATGTTTATCCATTTTGCCTGGATATAGTCACAATAATAGATGCTATTTGCTAATGTATAGAAGTTGTGACTTTCTATTTGTTGAGTTGCCTTTAGTTGTTTTTGCATTGCAAAAATGTTCGGTTCGTATCATGCATATGAAAATGAATGCGTCATCTGTATACGCCACCCAAACATGCAGTCGGAACTCATTTAACAATTTTCCACATGCTGTTCGGTTAATAGTTTTATCTTTATTTAGATTTATTGTGCTTTACTCACATTGTACTATGTATGCTCCCAACTCTGCAGCCAATTCAAATGAAATCGGTAATCTCCCCTGCAGGACATCTTGTTTAACTTGAAGAAATAATTGATATCTGTATAATAAAAGAGAATAAAGAAAAACGAATAAAAACTCATGAAACAATGAACAAATCAAATGTGATTGAACAGAGATTGGTTCGTGTGTGTGTGCATATGTGCTGTACACAGAATTTCTATAACACCTTTAATTTAACCTTTACTACTTTTCAATTTTTGCACCGTGTTTCTTCTTACATTTGTTCGCCCATCATCATTATCAATTGTACCATATTAGTGTTATCTCATTACGAAATATTCTATTTAATAAACGATCCATCTATTCAATCAGCAAGTCATCTTTCTCCCTTGAATCATCAAGTACAGTCGATTTAATTGCAGTCTGCTTTCAAAATGTGGGAGCATGTATTTTGATTCATTACGAATGCGCAATGAATGTATGTTCGCAAACGGAGAGAGAGAGAGAGAGAGAGAGAAACCTAATCAACATAATTAACTCAAAATGTGCTTTTATTGAACCTGAACGAATTCAAAGGTCGTCGGGAGCTTGAAAACCATGTTTTTCGGGGAATATGCAATTCGAGACAATTATATACACCCTCCATTCCAAAAGTTCCAGAACTTTTTAAAAATAATAGATACCAGTGGCGTATTGCGTCTTATTTTTTAGTATCTTTTGCTCTCGGTGACAAAATGAATTTCAAACAAAAAATAATCAACTTTTGTGATAAATTTTGAAAGTTTTAACGAATTAGATATTTCAAAAACCATTTTATTATGATTGCTCATGCTGTCTATAAGCTAGAAAAACTAAGACACGAGATCCTATATCGGTACATGCTTCGCATATCGATATCTTTGGGAAAACTCACATTTTCATGATATTTTCATTTCGTGGACCAATTTTCTGTGAATTTCGTGGAACCCAACCCCGAATCTTTTGCTCTGATGAGCCTAATATTAAGGGAACAGTGTTGAACACCTATATATTGAATAATCCATAACGATTATTGCAGATAGTCAGATGTATAGAGTCTCTAGAACATGAAATAGACATTAAGTCGTTTTTTCACGATATTGCATTTGCTCATTTTCAGTCATTTGTCAACAAAAAAACTAAAATGTCCATTGCATAATTCTCCATTTTCATTTCATATATCTCGTATGGTTATCTTCTTTCCAACCAGTGCATTTGCTGATGAGAACGAATCGATCAATTTCCGACCGTTGACCGATGCCGCAAACATAATAACACATTCGACGCAATAACTTAGCTGTCAGTGATCCGATCCTTATGAAACTTGGACATGATATCAGTGGGGCAAGTACCTTTCTAACGCATATAATATCCAGTAGGTGGCGCCACTGGTATCTATTATTTTCAAAAAGTTCCGGAACTTTTGGAATGGAGGGTGTATATTGTATATATAGACATTCACACTGTATCTGGCAAAAACCTAATTGATGTGTGCGCGGCCATGGCAATGTAAGCTTGACGGGGAATTCAAGCGTTCACTTGATTTCACTGTATATGGTTCGACGATTTTAAATTTTATTTGATTAATGTATTGAATATGATTGTATAAAGTTGAAAAGCAAACTCAACAGAAACTTGCGGCCGGTAATTTAGTTATATAGATATGTTTGTTATCTTCAAATATAAAATATATCTACATTTTCTGGCGTTTTTTCGTGATTAATTTCACTCGCTTGCATTGAATAAATTGTCACTAATGCTTACACTTATTATTCATAGATTGAATTACGTCACGCTCAAAATGTGTGCACAATTATATGACCCTCTAAATGAACTCAGGTAGATTATCTGACCTTTTGTTAATACATATTATATTCTTTTTAGCGCCTCAATTTATTTTTATTTTAATTATATTAATCTTTACCTCAAGAACAAATCAGGATAAGCAACTTCGAAAAATCTGATAAAGTCGCTCGTATTCATTCGTATTAATATATATACACTACAATGGTCTGTACTATTTACTGTCATCGTTGATGTTATTTTTCATTCTTGTCAATTTGAATGAAAATACCGTTTCTAGTGAAATAATAAACGGAAAAGTTTTTTTGTGAGATTGTTTTGCTTTTGGGCGCGTATCATTAAATTTAATACGACTGGCGCTTTGTTGTTCTTGGAAAATAACAACATTAAGGGAAATGTTTGACACGGTAAAAAGAACCCATCTCTAGGATACCACTTCGATACATTCAAAAGCCACCATTAAAAAAAGACGTCATGACAGAAAAACGTCATGAAATTAATACCAACGAAAATGGGCGTTCACATCATAAGAATTATAAATTTCAATTTTTCGGCTTTTCATTTCATTCATGTGTACATAATTCGAGTTGCAATGACACGGATCAATTCCCCGTTTGATGGCCATTTATATACATACATTCGAATGCGAATTTACCATAAAACATTTAAACAAGTAATAAAAAAAACGGACACACACAATATTCCGCATCAATAAAAAGTGACGCTGCAATGAGGATCCATAATAATTTTTTAGCATGGTAAATGTGCTTTTGCATTGGCTTTTACTCATACCAATAGTTTGATTTCGGAAATTGTATCGACTCCCAATGGGAAAAACTAAATAGTATAAAACGAATTTTCCGAGCCAAACGACAGCATTTGGGTAAATGTTTGCTATTGCCCTATAATTGGTTCTTAATGTTCCAAATGAATTGTTTGATAAAGCTGTTTGCCAACAGGACCGTTGGTCAAACATTTGCAATATTATTGAACAACTTAGTGAGGGCAACCAGATGAGAATGTTTTGATCGAATATTCTTTACAATCAGGTATCAGGCTACATATCATGAACCAATTGTTTATTTTTGACCATGCATGTCAACATTTGTACCAATGTGTGGCACTCAACTGTAGTTTTCACACATCATCAATATATCGGTGTTTTACCTCGTGAGGATGCCCCTCTCTGAAAAACAATGTGCCAATTGAAATAGATTTTTTATTAGATAAAAAGTCAAGAATAGAATAGCAAACCCTTCTTTTATAAAAGCTAAGAAAAGTTGAATCGAAAGAGAAAGATAAACGAATTTATTTAATAAGAATTTGGTCTATGAAGCGGTGTATTGAGATGGATTTTGTCACCGGACTTAATTGGATTAAGTGGTCCCATATAATATATAGTCGTAAATATAAAAGGTTTTTGTTGTAAAACGTCAATTCAAGCGAAAAGGTTTGTCAAATCAATTGATCCTGAACGATATTACTCAAAATGAGATGACTTGAAAAGGTAGAAACTTCTATCTATTGGTCATTGTATTCTGAAAAATACGAAGAAATACTATCTAAATTGACGACCATTTGGTTACATTTTCAAGAACCCCGCTTTGTTTACCTATAATAAATGCGATTTTAATTAAGGCAACAACTTGGCAGCTTGGATAATCATTATTAATGAACGTTTGAATGCCAGTGGAATATTGCGTATTTCCGGTTCAAAATATTTTTCCTCCAAATAATAATAATTAAAAGTTCTTAATTAATTTCATCAAAATGATGATTTTGAAGATATCAACGAAACATTAATAGTGATTTCACAGTTCAATGGTGCAAAATAGGCTCATTATAATTAATAACTCAAAGGATATCATCTGAAAAAAGTCACACTTACCTCGTTATTTCCTCGATGAGCGATTTCGTTGGATCGGCTGCATAAAATTTGACGCCAAAATATAAATCATAAACGTCTTTTGATCCTTTCAATTGTCGTGATATTCTAGTTGTGTGATCCAACCAGTGCTGTTTGCATAAGTCAGTTGTAAATTATGTCATAATATGAGGGAATAAGAAAAATGTAATATTCCAATTGAATTTTGTGCGAGCCGTAAGACTTATACAAAATGTGGTGTATTTAAACAAAGAATGGCTTTAAAACAAAAAAATTTTTTTAAATGTTTATGAGTTTGTTTGAACTTACCGTTTGGTTCTCTTCATCTAAAAAGCGTAAACCAAAATACGCTGTTTCAATCAAATTAAGTCGTGCGAAGCAAACATCTAGTATGGCCTGACCCATTAGGTCGTCCTGAAACAAAGAATAAAAAAAGAGCGTGGTCAACGAATGAGTATGAGTATGAGTAATACGATATTTAGTTGAATATTCATGCTACTTGTATAATGTTTATGAGATATTTTGTCTGAAGATGTGTGCCCTTTTATGAAACGAAGTCAAAGTTTTTGATGACTTCAACGGCTAAAATGTCACGAACATTTATTATCGGTCCATAAAATAGATAAAACATTGTTTTCCATTTATTTTAGTTTGTATTTTTTTTTCTATTGCAGTCAGTGAACACAAAGAAGATCAACCGACGACTGTTGTATTCATTTGAATGGCTGAGGGCAAGTCACTCATAGTACAAACTATACCCGTTTGGTTTTGTTGTGCAAGTAACATATGTATACGAATACTTTATACAGATTTCAAAAACAATTGAAGACTCATTACCAATGGAATTCCCTGTATTACAGTCAACAGCAGTGAAATGGTCAAATAGAATCGGGTAGTTGATAACATGCGGTGCGCAGGACAGACAGAGATAGACGTAGTGTGTAGTCTTTTTTAAGTCGTTTTTCAATAGTAAATCTTATAGTTTTTAATTTGATGCCAGAAGAACATAAAAGAACACATCATTCAGTAGGGGACCGACATATAAATATAATATATGTTATCGTGATTAAGAAAACTCTTTTAATTGCATCGTGACCATAACGATTTCCATTAATATAATGGTCATCAATTTTTTTCCACATGTTGTTCCAATAATTTTCCAGTTTGATGTTAATTGAATTGAAAACATTCTCTTTTAAGATAGAAAGAGGAAATAATGGGTGTGTGTATGGGCATTTCGGTTGGCATAAAACTCGTTTTGCCAACATAATGATGACTATGACCACATGAATATTTGTCAAATGAAATTTTGTCACTGCAGTACACTGCACATATTATGAGAACGCATAAAGTGTACAAACACATAAACGCAAATGATATATCACGATGAAGGCTCTTTCATGCTTTTTTTATTTATCTCCTTGGCATATTCTAATGAATTTTCATTCGAACGGTCCAATATTTTGTCATGTTGAATGCTTTTTAGGAAAGAAAGATAGAAAAATGGCCAGCATGTTTGGTTCGGTCGACTTAACAAAATGAATAAGTGCAAACATTTAACCACACGATGGCATAAATCGAATGAAAGCCAAACAAATTCACGAATTTTGCAATAGTTGTGCTATTTTGGTAAGTGTTGGGAGATAGCATTCCATGGTACAAATAAAAGGGGAGAACGAAAACATAAAATAGAGCATACACGTACAACGTTGACACGTTTAGTCTTCACTAGTAAATGCTGACATGAATAAGAATATGGCTGTAATGTGGACAGGTAACGCGTACCTCGATGCTCGCAATTATTTGGTTTTCTTTTTTATGAGTTTTAATAAAACAACGTATGTATTTGCAAAGCAAAATTATTGATTTTTTTTCCTTTGTGCGCCTAGACCGTAAATGGTTGTATATAAACCATAAAATCTTTATGCATAAAACACGAAAAACATTTTGTGTTTCAAATATATGTGTATGCATCATTCTTCATTCATGTGCGAAAGCAAAAGTATATTTACCAAAAACTGTATACTGTTTTCGATAAAACCAAGGATAGAACATTGTGATTGCAATGAAAAAAGAAACACAAAATCTCTTTCAACATGTCGAATGAGTAAAGTATCGAAGATGAAATCAAACAAAATGCTGAATGATCAAATTCATCATCAAAAAAACACACACTTCAATGGTAAAATATCATTCGGCAATTGTTCCTCTGGCCGTAACGACAATTACTGAGTTTGACAAATGATTTGCCGTCAAATTCATGCAGCCTCTTCGACAGTACAATAATATAGAAAAATAGAGCACAAGCCGATCAGAATCGAACGAAGAAAAACCGCACATGTTGAATATACGGGGATTTGAAAAGTGTGCTGTTGTTTTGTGTTCGGTAATTTGTGTGTATGTGTGTTCACGTTTTTGTGCAAAGATTAGCAATGCGCGAAACCATCTCAATAAAACCCGAATATTGTTTCAAAGTTCACGTACGTAATTGAGTGCTGTTTTTGCACTTAATGCCGGTGGCCATATATACATGGACGCAGCTATTAAAATCAGTGAACAAAGGGAAAACAACAATGACGGAGAGACAACAATGAATTCAACAGAGCAAACCTTAGCCAGTGCTCTAACACTGATATTTTGCTTGAGTTTCGCCGTTGAATAGTGCATAAAGTGTGTTTTATGCGTACATACGCAGTCTTTCATCGTGTTTCATTGCCGTGTTATTTTGGGTTCGTATTTCGTAATCTGTATGTCGGTCTTTTCATATAAGCTACCTATTCGAGCCCATTGTTGAATATCATTTTCGCAGTGAATGAGTGGCAGCCAGAAGAGATTACATAGATTCTTAAATTTATTAGGTGTACATTTTATAGTTGATTTACATCTTGTACAAATTTATACGGATGACTGCAAAAACCGATAATTTATTGCATCGAATAATATGGTATTTGTATGGCGTTGATACGGCCGCCCGAATGTACAATGGCGATGCATGTACAAATTTATTCGAAGTTGAAACGAAAAATTTGTTCACATAGACAGATGTGTGATGTAATGATGCATCATCATAGCTGGAACGATCCAAAGGATAAAAAAAAACTATGATGAACTAAAACCGATAGAATTGTTAAACCATCAAAATTGAACAAAACAAAAATGTTGGCATGTTTTCTGTCGCCCGTCCTCTCATTCTCACTGCCAATACTTGCTCTTTCTTTTCACTTCCATTTCCGCATAACATGCATGGCACATTTATTCTGTTACATGCACTGACACATACCGCTCAATCGGTGTGAATGATTCAGTGCTCAATTATCCGAAATGAAAACGGCGTTGGCCAACCAATTTATTTTATTTTGAACTTTGTTGATTTTTTACCCATTCCATCAAAATGGCATTGTTTGTATTTTATTTCGTATTATTTATTTACTAATGGTGTCCGTATTCATTGTTCAGCATTTTACTCACTCGGGGAACTGAATAATACCCAATTTTTTATCCGATATCCCAAATTGAATTTACCCAATTGTATTTTTAGTTCGGATAAAATTCATATTGTAAATAAAATGTCTTATAAGTCTCCTTAAGATAGTTCATCAAGATGGATTTATTCATATCTTTTACTTAAATTTGAATTCACGAGGAAACTGAATCTGACATTCGTTTTGCGATACAAATATTACTAAAAATGGTAATGGAATGCCTGTATGATTTACAAGTTTTCACAGTGATTAAATTATTGCAACTACACATTTTGGTTAAAAAAAAATCCGATCAATTTCGAGTCAACAAAATGCCCCCAATGTATAACTTTATCACCCTAAAAACTTGTGAATCTTTTTTTCTTGTCAAAATATACAATTTCAGCAACGGGTACTTCGTTACAAGTACAATACAAAATTTTCGTTTTTGAGCGAAAAATCCAATTCTATTGAAATTTTTGTATGGCAAAACTAATATCATATTCGGTTTTCTCGTGCCAAAAAACTTCCACTTCATATTTTTAAGTATACATTAAATATAACTTTTGGAGGAAAAATAGAATTTTACTCATTGCAGGTGTGACATTTTACACTATAAACCAAAGTCACTAAAAATCTAATGATTTCTATTCCTCGCGACCCTCCAATCATCCTGTGAAGATTTTTGAATTACGTTTCTGGGGGAAGTTATCGTGTTAACAGAGTTTTGCGTACAGAGTATATGGTACAGTGTACGCACATACATTCAGACCTCGAAAAAACGGCTGATACATGTTCCCTGTCCTCGAAAACACACTATTAGGTGTGTACGAAAAATTAGAATGACTTTACCCGACGTGATTTTTAATACGGCTAAAATTCATTTTAAATAGCGAACTTTGTCCGACGTCGGGGAAAAGTCAATTTGTGCGTCGGAAAAATTCATTTTAGATAATGAACTTTACCCGACGTCGGATAAAATTCAATGTGAGCGTCGGATAAAATAAAATCGGTTATTATACCCGCTCACACTCTCTCTCGCCATAGCATCGGAGCTCAGCTTTATTTCAAATGGCTGAGTCAAGCGAAATGCTTCAAGCATATACCCTGAAATTATTTGAATACCAAACGTAAACGTGTTGGTCGATTTTCACACAACAAAAATCGGTAATTTCCATGCGAATGTTTGCAACCATTACGCTTGATAAAGGATCAACGCGGCAACAGTTCAAACTATTCGACTGAAATTTGTGCGGTGATTGTTGCTGTTTACAAAGAACTGTTTTTTATGTTTCTTCATTTTCAAACCTTTTTTTTTTTCTTTTTTCAAACTCATGAATCGCCTCATTTTTCATTTTGCTTATTCTCATTTTAAACTGAGCAGTTTTTTCCGCTTTATTTTGCATATCCCGTTTATTTGCTCATTGCACGGAAGCCCAGATATAACACTTAAGGCAAAACTACATTCGTAATGAAAAGCTTTTTCAAATGAATGAAAAATACAACCAGGATACAACACACAACGGCAAAAAAAATCACCCATAAAACAACTAATGAGAAACAAAATAAAACGGTCAAAATTGCAATTCAATTTAGAATTTAGACGCTGATGCTTGAAGCTGTTTGCAAATGAAATAAATTTGAGCTGTTTTGTTTTGTCTGCACATTTATTTTCTATGGAAGTTTCATTGTGCCAGAGTAGTTATTGCCAGACATTTTATTGTGATATGCTCAGCCAGCTGAATCAGCTCAGGTGGCCATGGCAGGTTGCAACGTCAGGCACTGAAACGGAGTAAAAATAATAGAAGTGATTGTTATAGAAATTACAGCAATGTAAGTGTTTTTATCACCATACCCAGAGCTGAATCAGCTGACGGTAAATATCTCAATATAATGTCTGGTTGTTGCTTAAGGCTATCATTGATAAATTAACGACAGTTAAATTGCAACAAC